TACGTTATACTGCAATAGATCGGTAATACACTGTGTTGCACACTGATAGCACATGAAAATAAAAATAACAATATAATAGGAATCAAGTATGATAATCGACATGTTTTCTAGTATATGTAGTTATGTATATAAAATATGTGTAAAAATATAAAAGCTCGGATGTTAGAACATCTCCTCTATAGTAAGAAATAAAAAAAATGTTAGTGAAAAATTTCAGCTTGGTGAGACTTCATACGGGGAACCACTCTCCTGTTGTTTTAAATTATCCAAACAGAGTATTACTAGATCATCTCTAGTTTTTAAAGGGTTAATGTTGCTCATTACTCAGTTCTTTTATTTAGGGTTTTAAACTTGTTTTTTATTTCGTTTTTTCTTTTCTTTCTTTCTTTGCCATGATTTGTTGGTCGATCGACTTATGAGTTTTCATTTTCCTTTTGTTGTCTTCCACCTCATTTCTTCTATAGATTTGTCAAAGCGCTAAAGTTTGGTGATTTTTTAGTCATTAGCATACATAGATACAGGCTCTAACGAACTTCTAGTCATTCATTTAAGCTAGTAATCCAAGTAGTCTCCCTTTGGAATATTACAAATGTTATCAATATCAGTAAAGACTGCAATACAGGCAACATTAAAAATACAATTCATGAAAGTTATATTATGAGACAACAAAAGTTTACTAGCATTCAAAACAGAGAACAAATATGATCATACGATTTTCGTTAGTGTTGTAAAACTGTTGCTGTTATTAACTTTTCAGTACCATTAGTTTGCAATCGTTAAATACAAACAGCACCCGTTTAAGACATCACAGTTTATAAAGTCACTTCGCGTGTTAAACTTACTGTTAAAGTTTGGAGATCAGCAATTCTCCTGAACATTTCACAGCAAGAGCAAGTGTGTGAGGGTTTTGATGAAGCTCACAGAATATGGAACAACGGGCATTGAATCAACTAGAGAGAAAAAAAACGGCAGATTCTATTAAACAATACAGAAATAAAGACCGAACCCTCATTCAGGCTCTCGTGTAAAATAAATATCAGTTATGCGAGGCTTTTTAAGGGGAACACCAGCTCCATTGTTTCGTGACAAAATTCCAAAAGTAGCTTCAATGAATTTTAAGGCAGTTTATTAACTTGCAATTTCACGTCTTATTTGCGTGGCACTTATGAACTGCAATTACACTTTCATCTCAAGTAGCGCTTCTTCTGAGTGAATCATGAGTCATTGTTTGTTTTATGCATACCAGTATATGTACAAGATGATTGATACAGTCCCCTTAGAGCTTCTCAATCACCTATTTTAGGTTTATTGATATATATAATATGCTCAGCAAGTAGTCTAACTAGGAAATTTTACAAATGTTATTCTTTCAACAGATCTCATTTAATAGCACACAAACAAAAGATGAATAATACACTGTGCTGCACGAGATAACTAATATGATGTATACTGCACGAGATTAGTTACACGTCGTACTGGATGAGATCAGTAATACGCTGTTCTGCACGAGATTAGTTATACGTCGTACTGGATGAGATCGATAATACGCTGTACTATACGAGATAAGTTATACGTCGTATTGGATGAGATCAGAAATCGGCTGTTCTGCACGAGATAAGTTACACGTCGTACTGGATGAAATCAGTAATACGCTGCTCTGCACGAGATTAGTTATACGTCGTACTATATGAGACCAGTAATACGCTGTACCGCACAAGATTAGTTATACGTCGTACTGTACGTGATCAGTAATACGCTGTTCTGTACGAGATTAGTTACACGTCGTACTGGACAGAGATCAGTAATACGCTGTACCGCACAAGACTAGTTATACGTCGTACTGTACGTGATCAGTAATACGCTGTTCTGTACGAGATTAGTTACACGTCGTACTGGACAGAGATCAGTAATACGCTGTACCGCACAAGATTAGTTATACGTCGTACTGTACGTGATCAGTAATACGCTGTTCTGTACGAGATTAGTTACACGTCGTACTGGATGAGATCAGTAATACGCTGTACTACACGAGATTAGTTATACGTCGTACTGGATGAGATCAGTAATACGCTGTACTACACGAGATTAGTTAAACGTCGTACTGCATGAGATCAGTAATACGCTGTACTACACGAGATTAGTTACACGTCGTACTGGATGAAATCAGTAATACGCTGCTCTGCACGAGATTAGTTATACGTCGTACTATATGAGATCAGTAATACGCTGTACCGCACAAGATTAGTTATACGTCGTACTGTACGTGATCAGTAATACGCTGTTCTGTACGAGAATAGTTACACGTCGTACTGGACAGAGATCAGTAATACGCTGTACCGCACAAGACTAGTTATACGTCGTACTGTACGTGATCAGTAATACGCTGTTCTGTACGAGATTAGTTACACGTCGTACTGGACAGAGATCAGTAATACGCTGTACCGCACAAGATTAGTTATACGTCGTACTGTACGTGATCAGTAATACGCTGTTCTGTACGAGATTAGTTACACGTCGTACTGGATGAGATCAGTAATACGCTGTACTACACGAGATTAGTTATACGTCGTACTGGATGAGATCAGTAATACGCTGTACTACACGAGATTAGTTAAACGTCGTACTGCATGAGATCAGTAATACGCTGTACTACACGAGATTAGTTACACGTCGTACTGGATGAAATCAGTAATACGCTGCTCTGCACGAGATTAGTTATACGTCGTACTATATGAGATCAGTAATACGCTGTACTGCACAAGATTAGGTATACCAGAGACATATAATACAAGAGATTCGCAACTCTAGTAGAGTCTATATAACAGCCAATGAAATGACGTGGCCACCGGAAAGCCGATTATTCCGATGGATTTATGGGTAAAAACTCGCTATTGTTGCGAAAAAGGTTCTACGCCTCACGATTTTTCTAATGGATAAGCCGATACCTTTCACAGCTAAAGCATGCAAGTATATTTAAAAGTTACAAAAAACTAATTCTAATAATTTGTTATTGATAAAATGTGTTCTAATGATGAGATTAATCAAATACAAACAAAGTTAAAACTCGGCTCATTTTACTTCACCCCCTATTGCCGTAGAAACAATTTGATCTCCCAATTTTTTTCTTAAAACTTGGAAATATGCTAATAAATATATAATTTGATGGGGCAGTAATACTCCCAAAATGTTGTTTCGTGAAAATAAGACTATTTTCGTAATATTTGATCCAATAGTGTTTTTTTTCAAAATTATCAACAAATGTGGCGATTTTTTCTTATTGATACCAGAAGCCCGCTGTGCTGGTACTATCATTTTATCTCGTAAAACTTGGAAATGTGCTAATAAATAATCAATTGTATGGAGCTATATTACTCTCAGATGTTATGTCGTGAAAATAAGACCAGTTTCGTAAAATTTGATCCAACAGCTATTTCTAAAAATATCAACAAAGGTGACTATTATTTTGTTATTTATACACAAAGACAGCTATGCTAATTTAATCAATCTGAAGTCATTGTTTTTTTACTTCTTTTTAGGATGCCAAAGATGAACGAATGCAGTAAATTTACAAAAGGAGTAAAATTTTCCTAGTAAAGGAAACCTTCTGCTGGTCGTAATATTATGAATGAGCTTCATGCATCTGTTGTCGCTTCAGACTACGCTTCTCATTCAAAACATGAACCTTATTCATTTTTAAATTAAAATCGTATTGAGTAGATTTCAATGGTGACTGCAAAAGATATATATATATATATATATATATATTTGATAATAAAAGATTTTATTTACACCAAGGATTTGTATCTATACACATAAACAATCTTACTTTTAAACTGCCATCTCTTTACCCCGGAATAAAAAGACAAAAACCACTACAAATGATTAAAGTTAACGACAAAAACCACTACAAATGATTAAAGTTAACGACAAAAAACACTACAAATGATTAAAGTTAACGACAAAAAACACTACAAATGATTAAAGTTAACGACAAAAAACACTACAAATGATTAAAGTTAACGACAAAAACCACTACAAATGATTAAAGTTAACGACAAAAACCACTACAAATGATTAAAGTTAACGAAAAAAAACACTACAAATGATTAAAGTTAACGACAAAAACCACTACAAATGATTAAAGTTAACGACAAAAAACACTACAAATGATTAAAGTTAACGACAAAAACCACTACAAATGATTAAAGTTAACGACAAAAAACACTACAAATGATGACAAAAAACACTACAAATGATTAAAGTTAACGACAAAAAAACACTACAAATGATTGTCTCGTGGAAATAAGGTTATAAAATACTTTTTAAATAGTGTCTTCCATGTTGCTTTGATGTATGACATATATATTATATGTCTCTGGTTATACGTCGTACTGGATTAGATCAGTAATACGCTGTACCACACGAGATTAGTTATACGTCGTTCTGGATTAGATCAGTAATACGCTGTACCACACGAGATTAGTTATACGTCGTTCTGGATTAGATCAGTAATACGCTGTACCACACGAGATTAGTTATACGTCGTACTGGATTAGATCAGTAATACGCTGTACCACACGAGATTAGTTATACGTCGTACTGGATGAGATCAGTAAGTATAGATTATTACATGGCATTTTTCATATCAGACCCTTTATCGGCCCTAGGTCATGATATCAGCCCAAGAGCCTATCTTTTTATCATATACTCCAACAGAAGAAATACAGACAAGAACTATTAATTAAAATTTTGTCTTTCCATGAATTTTTAGATAATAATTTACAGACAACCAAATACAAATTTCTTAACTTAAATTGTTTTTATTGATATTACAAGCATTTTATTTATCTTGTCACAACAATTATCATGTTCTTAGTTTGAAATTTGCTCCTCAGCCATTTTGTGAAAAGTCTTAAATCACTTGCGGTTTTCCGCACTGTGTTGTCGTTTTCGAACAAATTTCCAGAAATGCACGACGTTGTATGTGATAAACGTGCACAAGGATAATAGTTACGCTGAACGGTGCCCACTGGTCACCTGAACAGAAACGGTTAAAATTGAGTCTATACGCGACAAAAAATAGTACATGATTTCCGGTTTAAAGTGAAAGTACGTTACTAAGGGGATACTCAGTGCAGCATACTCAGTTTATAATTGCTGTTATACAATACGGATATGAGCTTAATGCAAAGTTCTGGAATCACCATATTTCAAAGGATACTGTTGAGAGAGGTACAAAAAGTAAAAAATAATACACAAATAATCAATAATCATAATGATTCACTCAAAACAAACAATTGAAAATGCATAGAAGATTCATCTGTAACTCTATTAACGAGTGATATGGCTTATTTTTCAGAAAAAAAAAATAACCTAATGGCCTATATTGCACTCTCATGAAATATAACTAAAAAGATGGTATGCCTCGAACTCGGGTACCTTTAAACTGCCATTGGTTACCTCTGGTCACCCTATACAGAAAATAATAGTGCATACAGTTACACTGGTCATTTGATACAAAATGCATAGTAACTTTATTAACCTTACTTCCTTTGCAGATAAATTTACAGTGGTTCTTCTAATTAATTGACACAGATATAGATATTGAATGGCCCTTAAACAGATATTGAATTTCTATACATCTTGTCACCTTTTACATAATTAATTGTGGTGACCTCTGGTCACCCAACACATGTATTGAATTGCAATAAACATTATAAGATATTGAATTTGGTTACCTCTTGTCAACCCGGCAAGCCTTCACAGATATTGAATTTTGTTGCACCTTGTCACCTTTTACATAATTAATTGTGGTGACCTCTGGTCACCCTACACATATATTCTATTTTTTATCTTTAGACACTGTGCATAACTATTGAATTTATTTAACTTTAATAACCCTACTTAGATGTTTAATTTGGTAATATATGGACACCCTACCAAGATGTTGTATATGGTTAACCCTAATCACTCTACAATGATGTTGAATATGGTTACCTCTGGGCACCCTACAAAGATATTGAATATGGTGACCTCTGGTCACCCTACCAAAATTTTGAATATGGTTCTTTCTGGTCACCCTACACATATATTGAATAAAATTACCTCTAGTCATCTTACAAAGATATTGCATATGGTTACCTCTGGTCACCCTTCACATATACTGAATATGGAAACCTCTGGTCACCCAACACAGATGTTTGAATTAGTTATAAACTTGCCATCCTACACAGATAATGATCACGGTTATATCTGGACATCTTTCAAATACTTTTAATTGAGTTATGTTCGGTTTCAAAACCTATATACTGGCTTTAACTACCTCTTGTTACCCTAAATATGTCTTGATTTTGGTAATCTCTGGTCACCCTACTAAGACAAATACAATCAAAACCAAGGAGTAAACAGATATACCAAAAGAAATTTACAACAACATTAAAAAAGTAAGGAACAACAGGAATCTTCTTAATCATGTCTTGAACGCTCCCATCGTGTGAGTTCTTTCTTAAGTCCGGTAATAATGAAAATGTACTGATGACTGTGCAAGAGTTTTAATATGATTAATCATACATAAATTACTAAAATATTGAATTTGGTGACCTCTGGTCACCCTATACATATATGAACTTTAAATACCTCAAGTTACCCTACACAAATACTGAATTGGGTTACCTCTGGTCACCCTTCACATATTTTGAATGTGGTTACCTCTTATCTTACACAGATAGAAAACTTGATTACCTCTAGTCACCGTGCATAAATATTTAATTTGGTTACCTATAGTTAGCCTACTTAAATATTTAATTTTGTAAACTTCGGTCATAAATTGAACGTGGTAACCTCTGATCAACGTACACAAATATTGAAAAAGGTAACCTCTGGTAAACAATTACAGATATTGAAAATGGTTACCTCTGGTCAACCTACAATAAATTGGCTTATATTACCTATGGTTACAATTCATAAATAATGTATTTGGTTAGCATCTGTTATCCCGGTTCACACTTTTGCGCTACTTTTATAATTAATATAGCAACTTCTGGTCGCTGTACACATACATTGAATTATGTTGCCAGACCTCTGGTCACCCTCCAAAGATATTGAATATGGTAACCTCTGGTCACCCTACACAGATATTGAATAAGGTTACCTCTGGTCACCCAACCAAAACTTTGAATATGGTTACCTCTGGTCACCCTACACATATATTGAATAAGGTTACCTTTGGTCACCCAACCAAAACTTTGAATATGGTTACCTCTGGTCACCCTACACAGATATTGAATAAGGTTAACTCTGGTCATTTTACAAAGATATTGCATATGGTTATCTTTGGTCACCTAAAAAGATATTATATGTGGTAACCTCTGGTCTCCCTACACATATATTGACTATGGTTACCTCTGGTCACCCTACACATATTTTGAACATGGTAACCTCTGGTCACCTTACCAAAACTTTGAATATGGTTACCTCTGGTCACCTAACAAAGATATTGGATATGGTTTTTTTTGTCATCTAAAAAGATATTGATTGTGGTTACTTCTGGTCACCCTACAAATATATTGAGTATGGTTAGCTCTTGTTACTCTACACAGATATTGAAAATGGTAACCTCTGGTCAACCTACAATAAATTGGCTTATGTTACCTATGGTTACAATTGATAAATAATGTATTTGGTTAGCATCGGTTATCCCGGTTCACACTTTTTACGCTACTTTTATTATTAATATAGCAACTTCTGGTCGATGTACACATATATGAAATTATGTTGCCATTGTCAACAAAAATATATAGCAATTGCCTTTTCTTAATGTAGTTACCTCGGGTCACCATACACATATATAAAATTATTTATCTTTAGACACCATGCATAAATATTGAATGTAGGTACTTTTATTAAACCTACTAAGATGTTTATTTTGGTAATCTCTGGTCACACTACTAAGATGTTGAATGTGGTTACCTCTGGTCACCCTCCAAAATATTGAATATGGTTACCTCTGGTCACCCTACAAAGATATTGAATATAGTAACCTCTGGTCAACCAACCAAAATTTTGAATATGGTTACCTCTGGTCACCCTACTAAAATTTTGAATATGGTTACCTCTGGTCACCTTACAAAGATATTGCATATGGTTATCTTTGGTCATATAAAAAGAGTTTGAATGTGGTTACCTCTGGTCACCCTACACATATATTAAGTATGGTTACCTCTGGTCAATCTACGCATAATTTGAACATGGTCACCTCTGGTCACCCACACAGATATTGGCTATGGTTACCTTTGGTCAATCTACAAAAATTTGGCTTATGTTACCTATGGTTACAATTCATAAATAATGAATTTGGTTAGCAATGGTTATCTCGGTGCACACTTTTTGCGCTACTTTTATAATTAATATAGCCACTTCTGGTCGATGTACACATATATTAAATTATGTAGCCGTTGTCAACAAATATATATAGCAATTGTTTTTTTTTTAATGTGGTTACCTCGGGTCACCATACACAGATATACATTTATTTATCTTTAGACACCATGCATAAATATTGAATTTAGGTACCTTTATTAACCCTACTTAGATGTTTAATTTGGTAATCTCTGGTCACACTACAAAGATGTTAAATGTGATTACCTCTGGTCACCGTACAAAAATATTGAATATGGTTACTTCTGGTCAACTTACAAAGATATTAAATAGGGTGACCTCTGGTCACCCTACCAAAATTGTGAATATGGTTACCTCTGGTCACCCTACACAGATATTGAATAAGGTTACCTCTGGACACCTTACACAGATATTGACTAAGGTAACCTCTGGTCACCTTACAAAGATATTGCATATGGTTACCTCTGATCACCCACACAGATATTGGCTATGGTTACCTCTGGTCATCCTACACAGATATTGAAAATGGTTACTTTTGGTCACCCTACAATAAATTGGCTTATGTTAACTATGGTGACAGTTCATAAGATGAATATCGTTGGGCAAATTTAAAAGATATTGAATGTGGTTAACCCTTTCATATTATTGAATGAGATTACCTCCGGTCATCGTATACATATATTTACTTAAATTACCTCTGGTCACCCTTTACAGATTTGGAATGTGGTTACCTTTGGTCACCATACACAGGTATTAACTTTAGGTTCTGGTCACAATTCATAATTAATGAATCTTTATTGGCATCGATTATCTCGTTTCACACTATCCAGATGTTAAATTTGGTTAACACTTCCCGCAACATTTATATTGAATATGAATATTGCTCATCATAAACAGATAATGATTATGGATATCTCTGGATACCCATCCTATAATTTATTTACTTTTGGTAATCTGACGCAAATAATGTCTTAGGCAACCTCTTATTACCCTGAACTGCAATTCATTTTGGTTAAATCTGTTCATCCTATATATAATTATATGACTTTTAAGGGGTCTCATGGTTTCTCCGGTTATATACAATTAATAAAAAAAAGATTTTGTTGACATTTTAAAAATAAATATGATATATTTCACATTCTCATTACAGGGTTTTTTGTTCGTGAATTAAATAGAGGAAATATGACAGGTGTAACAGGCGATTTTGAAGGTAATGGTTACAGTTTCAAACATAATTATTTCATTAATCATAGTAGAGGTCATATTAAGACCAATATTCAATTCCTAAAATCAGAATTCGAAACGTAGGGTTGATAGTACAAATCAAATACTTCAAAAACTAGAAAAACTGCACAAATTCCAAAATTATAGTTAAGGAATGTCAAATTATGATACATTATCGCGGTGTATATTTGAAACATCGTTATTTATTCCGCCATTTCCATATCTTACAGGTTTGGAAAACTTTAATTTGGAAGACCTCCATGAATTGCGACATGAAAAAAAGGAAGAAGTTAAAAAACAGATTGAAGCCATATATATTGAGGCAACCTCTTTGGAGAAAAAAGCCAGAGAATTGGGTATGAATTGTGTTTTCTCATTTATGCCCAAACCGCCACAAATGTCGTGATATTTTTCATACAGTATTGTATAGATTACGCTGTTTAGATCATACAATTGAGAAATAATTCATTTAGGCTTGAATTTATACTGATTTTACCACGGATTGACCTTTTATGCTAAATATTTTACAACGACCGATGGCATGGATAATATGCTCTTCATTTTTTAAAACTTCATTCAGCTACGATCAATTATCCTTGGCCAATTTGTAATGGCTCAGCGACTGCGTATATATTTTTTTTAAAAGTGTTTCAAAATTAGTATCTTATTCCAACAAATCGAAAATTGTTACTGTTTTTGTTTTTTTGTGTACATATGCAAATTGAAAAAATATGATTTATTCTAGGAAATTACACGCACAAATATTATATTTCCCTACCATTTTAGCATGTGATACACATTCAAAACAGTATATTCTTCGCCACGCACAAACCTTAACAGAAAAAGCAAATGAGATGAAAGAAAAGATATGCTTAGCATCAGGTGATTTATTTCTTTATCTGTATTATATTATAGATATACATTTATAACACAGTAGTGTTATTTTTATGTTAATACTGTAGACTTTTGTAGTTGAATATATCTGTTGGCACGCAAATTGGAAACTGAAAAACAGAAAATTCAAAAGGCACTTAATCAAATCCACTTGTCATAAACAAATTGACAAAGCCACGACAATAAACACAAAATCGGGAACAAGACAAACATCATTCCACGGAATTGGTTTGCGGTTTATTCCTTACTTTATCATTTGTTTATTATCTCAAAACTAGTGTACATAACACACTTTGGCAGTTCACTTAATACTGATCAGTGTTTTATTTCAATTTTCTTATGATGCCCTTTATTAGTAAAAAGAAAGGATTCATATCAAATTTTTACCTCCCCACACACACATACCAGCACACCCACATACACACCAACACACCAACACACATACACACACCAACACACATACACACCTACACACACATTTTCTAAAACAAAATGTCAATACCAATTACATGCATCTAGTTGCTGCCATCATTCAAATTTTAGAATGTTTTTGGTTCTGTATCTTCATTTTATTTGTTTAATTCAAAACAAAATAATTTACACAAAACCAGTCAACCACCAGCATATTATCATTGCTTTCAATAATCATGAATAACAAAGTCAAATATTGTTTTTGAATAAATTTATGAATAGCCAAAAATGTCAGACTTTTGTGATACAAATATTTCAGAGCAGAAGGTCTGAAAAAGTTAATTTATAATCCTAAAGAGGTGAATGTCAACAACCTCACAAAGAAATGAAAGAATCATAATTCATATTTTATTGTAAAATTCAGAGTTTACCCAGAATCATATCACTCTTAACAAATCTGTCAAATGATCCCTGAATAAACAAGTAATATTTTCAATGATACGTTTTTATTACAATTGAATACACATAAGTATGTATAAACAATGTCATTTAGCTGTAAATTTGAAGTGAAGAAATGTTAACCTTATATTCTAATATTAAGGGAAATCATTCCAAACACCTGATGAACTACAAATTGCTATAAAGCAATCCATAGCTTCAAACGAGGAACAAACATTAATAGTTGAGAGACTTAAGAGGAACTGTTCATCCCATGGCTTAGAATACAGAGGTCAAACACCAGGGAATGGGAATTGTTTTTTTGAAGCAATCACATGCCAGCTAGATAGAATTGGCGCAGACGTTATTGCTCCCGAACAATTAAGAACAAATGTTGTAAACTACATATCAACACATCCTAGTTTTGAGGTAAACTAATTTACTTGTTAAATACATTCACTAATTATCAAACTCCTCCATGGACAGAAACATAAAGAATTAGTTGGACATGTTTTCAGGGGACAAATCAAAACCGTTGGCAACGTTAGTGGCGCATCAGCACAACTTAAATATATGATTTAAATCAGTTAAGAAGCTATTAACACACAAATACCATCAAAAATACTTCCGACAGAATATTAATTTGGAATTGACGTAACTGCCCGTAATACCTGTGATTAATGCAATTTAATATTTAAAGATTTACAAACTGATAAAAGAATAAGCATCAGTTAAGACTTTCATATCAACCAGAATGCTTTTTTCTGCAGATGTTTAAATAAATCATTTACAGTTAATATAGTACAATGCTAAATAATAGGTATTGACAAAAAACAATAAAATAAATAAAAAATGTATGTTATGATCATGATGATTTTTGATAAAATGTAGTAATAAAAGTATTTGTTTTGTATTAATCAATTTCAATGTACAGTAGTTAATAAAGACTTATGTAAGTAGCTTTCTTTCAATCAATAGGGCAGTCAAGGCATTGTGTTATTAGAAAACTTCGTTGAAGACAATTTTCCGGACTACTGTGACAGGATGTTACAGAATGGAGAGTACGCAGACCATGTTGTGGTCATTGGAATGTCCAGAATGCTACAGAGAGACATAGTTATTGTCACCAGAGCTCCCAGTACCAATAATGAGGATAGTGTCCTTTGGGTAACTGGTTGTGATGGTTTTTCCGGTAATCCTATTCTTCTTGGGCACATTTTCGAAAACCACTACCAGTCACTCCAGCCAAAAGGTAACTGATAATAGAAATTATATAATTTATGATTATCTCTCATAAAGAGATACCTTTACAGTTATAGTTTAAAGTAACGCATATGTAAATCTATGTTAAAAAAATAATGTCTACGGTTGATAGTTGGGAAATATCTTATAACACGAGATATAGTTGTGGAATCTGTTAATCTAATGATTCCAATAAAATTTGATAATTTGTTTAGATTATTTACAAAAAGTCATGCTCTTCTTGTCTGACTTCATCGGGCATGATCACCTATTCCAATGACGTCATTATATAAAATTCAGAGGAAAGCAAAATATTTGTCGTCATTATTATATTTCGACTAAGGAAGGACTTCGATCAAATGACCCACGTTTGGTAAAATGTTGATCAATATTGTGCTGAAAAAGGGATAAATACCATAGAATCAGTAAAATGTCCATATTTATATATTTAATATTTTATCAAATTGTTTTTAGCAAAACGAAATGAAATAAGTTTACTTTAACTTTGTTCTTCATTAGGCATTTTCACATTTTCGATAGGAGCGACCCTAATGAGTCTTACGTAGACGGAACACATTTTTAAGCCTTATATCTTTGAATTAGGTAGATCATCACTATATATCTGTATATCGCTATCTTGAATTGTAAAATAGCAGCACACAAGCGACAAAGTTCTTTATTTAAAACTGCAAATTTTGAGACATAAATGCTTTTCATTTTTAAAACTCTTGTTTGATAAATGTAAATAAGTGCATTATATCATTGAAAAAATAAGTGTTATTGTAAAAACCGGCTATCAGTCTTTGTTTGATTCAATTTGTCAACTGAGCTAATTAACGGAAGATAACTTATTTGGTGAATTTTCTTTAAAGGAATGATAATGAAATTTCCATTTTTCGCAAGAAAACGAGATTTATTTTCACCCTTTTTCTTTTGATTTTCTACTAAATTGTGGCTATGTATAAGAAAATTATGTCTGAGAAAAAAATTCAGTAATGATCTACCTTAAATCGTTTTACGTTTTTTCACTGTAGACTGTTTTTGAAAAAGAAAAATATTAAAGGAAGTATTGTAAATGTGATATTTATATAAGTTTACTTTACATAATTTGATTGCATAATTACTGCATTGATATCAATCAGCATTAGAGGCAAAGTTTTTCTAATTGGCAAATACATTCAGATGCAAAAAAGCTTTATTTTAACAGATAAACTAGTATTAATTATAAATTATTACGTTTTTTTGTTAATTGTAACGTTTATACAACAAATTTTAGGTGACAGTGGCAAACTTGATCACCACACGAATGATAAGCATGCAACAAATGATGATAACCTTTTTATTCCTGTTGATGTGTGCAACGAAGAACTCAGCAACTATAACATGACACATGATGTTGAAGGTACAATATTGTTCCTTCGGAAATGTTCACTAGCCATACTTATCATCAGTGATTTTAAAATGATTTGAATAACTTATAATTAGCGGGAATTTCTCGCTACATTGAAGACCTGTTGGTGACCTTCTGCTGTTGTATTTTTCTACGGTCGGGTTGTTGTCTCTTTGACACATTCCCCATTTTTATTCTCAATTTTATTATAAAAAGTAAAAGTCATTTTATCATCCACTTTTATACATAACCTACCATTAGTATACATAGACGTCAATATTCTATAAAAAATAATTAGTTGTATTATAAAGTTGCAGTTTATAGATACTACCAATGAGCATGACTTTATCGAAGGCTTTTCGAAAGTCAACAATGCATTTAAAACACATTTTATTTCCATTTCTCCGTACTTCCAACGACAAAATTATTATACTTAAATTTGACTTTACATGCGAAATTTAAAGTGGTTTATCTAACGTCATTTTGTCGCAATAGTTGTATCATGTGTCCTCCTTTTTTATTATTAACTGTAACGTCTATGTTATACTGCAAATGCGTTTTATTATTGTATTAATACTGTGTCGCGAAGTATACTTATGTTTATAATTGTATTTTTTGTAACTCGTTAATTGTTTTGTCAGAGTTAAGCCATTTTCCATTATTTGCTTTTATAGTGCGTCTTTTCTTTTAATGTTTTACTGCTGTTTTACGTGTAATGTGCAGGTTTGCGCCTGTTGAAACGTTCAAATATATTATATGCAACTATTTTTTTGTGTTATTAAAATTTGCTGTTACAAAATATTAGAAATTATTATAAATTAAGGAATGTATCTCCCTCATGCAAAGCTCTGATTTCTTTCACGGATTTGGCTATACTTTTTGGACCTTTTGGATTATAGCTCTTCATCTTTTATATAAGCTTTGGATTTCAAATAATTTGGCAACGAGCATCACTGAAGAGACATGTATTGTCGAAATGCGCATCTGGTGCAAGAAAATTGGTACCGTTAATTTTATTGTGCAGAGGTCGTATGTTGGTATTTTTCATCGATGTCATCATTTGTTTTTAAATTTATAACAAGTAAACTAGTGTTACTACATAGCAATACATATGCTTTTCTTACCCTAGATATGCCATTCGTAGAGTTTGTGAGATCCACCTTCATCAAAAAACGGAAAAATGGTACTGATTGCATTGTTAGACGTTTAAGGTATGGGAAATGTTATTTTAATCGAAAATATATAGTTTTGAAATCAACTAATTTCTATATGCTACCTTCTTCCTATGACCTAATGGTTTCAATAGAATTAAAAGAAAATAAATATCTATCACAGCAAAACATATACCTTCAGATTATTGAAAAATAACTCTGTTTGTTATTCAGAATAATTTTACTGAACTTCAAATAGTCTTACAAAATATAAAAATCACTGTATTAACAAAGGGATCATTTTTAAGAACTCTATTTTTTGGGGGACAATTTAAGTCTATTATACTATGGTGTAACTCTTTCCAATGTTTCTGAATATATGGATGAATTTTTGGTCACACTATTACACTGAAACATATTGTTGTGTTTTATCAGCTAGCATTTGTGACTTTGGCTTCAATTTTTGCTTATCATTCAACAGAAATGAAGTGGACAACGAAGACGTCATAACCAAGCATTTAATGGATATAACAATCACAGGGTATTTTATTCACAGGAAAGCAAATAAAACCACATTGCAATACAGGTGTGAAAGGTAACTTTAATCATCTAAGTCGATAATCTATAAAGGAATTTTATCTTGAAATAAATCCACTCTTGTTTTTCTCCAAATAAACAATAAATAGAAAAAGAGAACAACTTTAGTAACAATCGTAAACATTCTTAAAGAATCTATTTACATATCTTGCATATCAAATTTGCAAGACAATGCTGAGTTAAAAGATACATTTGTGACTGAAAATAATATTGGTATAGTTTTGAAAGAGATGAGTTGTATAATCTTGACTTCTAGTTGTATGTTATTCTCTTGCTTTTTTTCAATAATATACGTTTTGTGTTATAGTTTATACAGTAATTATAGTATGGCCTTTAATAACAGATAGTTCCGAAAGCTTTTAAACGTATTGAACTATGAATTTTCTGAAATATTGCACAACATTTTTCTCTTTGGTTATCTATAAAGTTAAGATGCATATTTGTTTAAATTTTATCATGTTTATTTTAGATGTAATAAACCAAGAGGAAAAAAAAAAACAGGTCCTTTGAATACCAGGGCAAATAATTGTCAGGCATATGTGTCATTCCAGTATGTTATGTTAATGTAATATTCATTTATCTCTTTTACTTTTCTTTTATGATGCAAAACTATAAATTAATTTATAACTTTTAAGCGTTTGAACATCATTATTTATTGATCCTAACATCCTTGTTGTAGTTAAGCAACCTTTTGTCCGTGTCTTGAGAGTGGGAATTAAATGCATTTATCATATTACTAAACCAAACACATTTAAACAGGTATTCACCGGGCATACACCATTCATGAGTTTCTGGCTAGTTTACCTGACATTTCATGTGATGAGCGGGTCAATACACCCTGTCATGGTTGAAATTATTATATAGCGAATCCCTGTATCAAATTATATAGAATTTGGTATATATCATTTTGATGATAAGTTATCAATTTACAAGGAGAACACAACAACCATAGCAGTTATTCGAAGTAGCCTTACACATATTTTTAGTAAAAATAATCCTTTTCTTCAAGTCCGATAGATCTTAAATATTGCTTACAAGCTGTTGTAATAAATATAATAATGATACGTTTGACAAAACAGTACTAACCAGTGACGTTGTACATGTAAAAAAAAAATCATTAAAGGGCATGTTAATATCTTCTTACACAGATTTTTGACCCATTTGAGTAAAAAAGCAGTAATAATTCGGCAACAACTAAAACACAATGGACACAGTTTACAGATAAAAGAGGAAAAACACCAATCACGCCCAGATCACAGCTTACTGCTTTATATAGATGCTTTACTTGATCAGGTATTCATGTCGTCGGTATTATATATAATTTATTGCTCATAACGAATTGACTTATTTTTCAATTATAAGTTGCTGGCACTCTTATAAACACAATGATAATAAAAATTGTGTATGCTGACATTATTGGAGTTTAATATTTTCTCAACCATTCTGTTCTTTTCGATGTCTGTGTTTGTCTTCCGGCGCATTTTTTCATAATTTGCAAAGATTATAATGAATGAATAGGTTGAAATAAATCAAAAATAAAATGATTAGGATAAAATTGGCTTGCCAGAGAGTCATTTAATGCATTTACATAAATATCGGACGCTTGTATGAAATATTTTAATGAAAAAACCAGTTTAAAGCTGAATAGCATTGATGATAAAATATTCTAGAAGACATATATTTTTACAATGACATATATTGATACAACGACATATTTTGTGTTGATTTGAAAAAATCCTTAAGCTCAAAAAGATTTTAACTAAATTTGAAATTAATTGTAATTGACACGAATTTAATTTTATTTCATTATCAAAAGGGGAAAAAACCCATGGAAATATTGTGCAAAGCATGGAAATGGGCTAGAGATCAAGGGCATTTTGATGTGCACGATAGAAGATACTATCTGACACCAGTTGACATTAAGAATATATGTCAACGTTACAAAATGGATAAAAGGTATCAAAACATATTCAAAAGATTTACTTAAAATATGTACTTACTACTTTGTTCTTCTAAAAAATCCAAAGAAACAGGCTCATTGTTGAAGGCCGTATGGTGACCTATATTTGTTAATGTTTGTGTCATTTTTGGTCTTTTGTGGATAGTTGTCTCATTGGTAATCATACCATATCTTCTTTTTTATATTTGTCTCTACGTATCCAGTCATCGAACCACATCTTCTTTTTTATATTTGTCTCTACGTATCCAGTCATCGAAAAATAACACATTATCCGGACTTCAGTTACCTCTGATAACTTGAACCAAATCTTAATATTGACAAAGACTTTGCTACCTCTGATAACACTTAACATATACAGACTTTGGTAACCTCTGGTTAATGAACACATATATGGACCTGGGTCGCCACTTGTACCCTTAAATGTTTGTAGAATTTGATAATCACTTTTCACCATTTTGTTAACTTTGGTCACCTGAAACATATATATAATGATACACAGGTATTGACTAGGGCTACCTTAATCATACTTGTGTTTCCTATGTCTATTTTAGATATGTATATAATCTATATCCCTTTTGAAACCGTACACATATATTGACTTTGGTTACCACTGTTCACCGCAACTTTGGTCACATTTGGACAATTTAAAAAAAAATGATAGCTTTACACAAAGTATATCCTTGGTTCCGTCTTGTTACATCTACATACTTTAGTAAAGTGAAATTTAAAGAGCATTTGGTATTTAGTACCTTACACTGGAAATGACGTTGGTTACCTCCATCACATTTATAGATACAGCGTTTGGTTTGTGGTTCTTTAAACTGATGCACTGTTTGCAAACCCAATGGTTCGTCTGTTAAAATCATTACTTTATTCACCATTTTAATCTTTTTACCAATCTGATTGTAAACATGCACTTTACACAGTAAATTAACTTTGGTGTTTTCTGGTCAAATTATACAGATGTACTGTTGACATTGATTTTGTATATGTCAGTACTGGTATTGATCTATGATATTTCCTCATTTGTTTTAGAATTCACCAGAATGATGCTGTAGCTGTACACGAGCTATGCACACAAATACTGAAGGAAGAGATAATTTTCTACCAAGAATTGAAAGAGTAATTATTCTTATATAATAATGTACTTTTGTAAATTTTAATAACTGATATAAGCATAATGCTGATAAAGAGTAATTCTGAAATTACTGATTGATACCCTGTTTTGTTCTTCAGACATGACTGGATTGCCTTATGTTCAAATAGTTTTTAAAGTACTCGTCTGTCCAATTTCGTATATGATTTTGTCTGTAAAATGTTTCAATGAGAGCTGTACAGATGAGTTTTCTGTAGACTGAACGTATATCTGACTTCTCATAATAGATGATTTGTATTTTTGGTTTTTATCCTTTTGAGTGTTTTTAGTGCTACACTTGTTCACAAGTCATATATTTTGTCAATATATTTTACATTTTTGTCTTTTTCAGTTTTAATAGAGGTTATTTAATATGAGTACAATGTAGCTAGTTTGTCGTCTTCTTTTCCATTAAATGGACATGATTTCAACATAAAATATATAATTCATACTCATACTTTTGGTCATTAAATATGTAACATTTACATTGTAGGGGAGTACAGCCATTAGTAATTATTTACCAGAATGAAGCACAAAGAAAAAGAATGGTGAAACTAGCAGAAAATGTGGTGTTTTTAGATGCTACATATAAAGGTATATACTTGTATATAATCATGGAAATTTCAATTTAAAATATTGATACGTTTAAAAGAATTGAACTGTGTGACAATAAACTTACAACATGTTTTTTGTTTGTTTTAAGGATTAACTGCCTATGGTTATTCATTCTATGCTCTTGTTGCAAGAGATGAACAGCAAGGCCGAGGCACTCCTCTTTCGTACTGTATCTCGTCAGATGATACTGGTGAAGTTGTCAAAATATTTCTGAGATCTCTGAAGACTACGGCTGAAAATCATGGATTTGATTTCCGTCCAAGGTTTGTGGGTATCAAAGTTGACAATATTTCGAATTCAATATCATTGCTTATTAACACTTTTCATTTTCGTCTTATTATTTGTTTACAATTAGTAACATTATTCGGAGTCAACATCAAATCTGATATGGATATAAAAGATAAATAAATACCATTCAATTATATGTTTTAATTAATTTGGCTGTAACAATTACAGGTTAAACTATGACATTATTCACATATTCGTGCAGTGATAGTTATTTGAAATGACAAATAGACAATGCTATGAAAGATTCATCTAAAGAAACATTTTTTCATGCATATCAAAATTAATACAATTAAGGTCCACAATAATTTCAGTTGAATTTTGGCAAAGAATATTAGATAAATAATTTTTGCATAATAATATTTTTCTAATGGACTAATGACACTTACAAAAACATCAATTTCCTTAAAATCTTTTGAGTGTGATCTATAGCAAGGCTTTAAAACCAAAGCATTTAAGATTAAAGCATAGTCAGGTTTATACATAACATAATAATTAAAGCTTTTTTAGGCTTGTTTCCAAACTTTTTAATCACAAATTAAAAATCTAATTGATATAAAAAAAAAAAGAATTTACATAATTATTTACAAATTAACAAATAGTATTATAGAATAAAACCAATATGAGATAAAGATATAGATTGTTGATACTGCAGTGTTACATTTTGTTTACTAGATCTTTTATGGTAGACAGAGATACCAAAGAAATCAGCGCAATTAATGAAGTATTCCCAAACAGCTCTGTTTTACTTTGCTGGTTTCATGTTTTACAGGTATTATATTATTCAATATATGTATCATACATTTTACCTTATTCTTTATGGGAAAAAAATCAGTTATTAAATGAGAGTTATTCTGTGAAGTTTCACTCTTTTGGATCAATAAGTATTAATTGCATTGGATTTAACATTTTATATCTTTTTTTTGTGTTTATAAGCTTGAGGTCAGTTTTGAATTAATAAATAGACTCTTTCGCATTAATACTTTCATAGATCAAATATTATCTTGTTGAAAAATAATTAGTCATGATATATTCAAGACAATGTTTAATTATTATTATCAAGAATCTTTAAGACATGAACTAAATATAAATGATTTGATTTACAGGCTGTGTACAGATTTTTGAATAAAAAAGAATCTGGTGTATCAGGACCCATGCACGCACATACCAGAAAAAAAGGTATTGACTATATTAGAACTATGAAAATATGTACCAAGGTAATCAAACGTGATAGTTAAGACAAATAAAATATAATGAACCTATGATACCACAGTGAAATATAATAATTTTTAAATTGGTCAATAATTTTGAGTTGGTCCTGACAAATTCAAATAATGTATTCGAATATTTAATATGTACTAGGTGAATGTTAATTTACATAGTATAACTTGACCTGCTTCTGATAATAACAGTTTTATATGCAGAGGATGTGAAACATTGTTAAAAAATTAATCACGAGTGTGTTGCCTCACAATGAAACACGATTGGTTATTGCTATGTTTATATTATAAGAAAAATCCCTGTAGAAATGAAACCTCAGTGGGATCTTTTTCTCCTTTTCCAACATTGTAATTGTTTTAATATCAAAATCATATCAACAAGATTTTTCAAATAGAGTCAATTAAAACGCAATAATAATAATAATAAAAAATACAATCAATGAATTTTGGTTGATAAAAGATGAAAAAAAAACCACTGAAACATATAGAAATGAATCTCTATTGAATTAAAGCAGTAAAATAATTTAGAAAGTACAAATAGTTGCTTAATGCGATTTAAAGATCTTACCTATAAATATACAATGCTTATGAGTACACGCGTGTTTAATCTATAAAATCTGATTTTATACTCAAAAGAAATGTGTCAATATAATTTTTCATCAGAAAGAAGACTTTTCTCAAAAAGTTAAAATGTTGCAAGAGAAGATGCCTTCCAAACAAATAGCAGACTACTTGTTAGACAACTGGTGTACTGACAAGTGGGGATGTCGATGGGCCAACTATGGAAGACATTTTTTTCATGAAGATCAAGATACAAATAACTTAGTTGAAAGGTTATTAATACATTTTATTACTATACACCTTATATTTTACAAGATCGAAATTTTAAGCATCATCTAATTATCATCTGTTTGATAATAGTAACTAAGTATATTTTATTTTGGGGATAAATTTTCTGAACTGTCTCTGTTTTTATGACCTGATTTATAAAAAGTATTACACTTTGTCTAAATCCTACTTCTTCATGGGTAACCAAAGACATAGCATGATATAAACTTTACAATTTTTAACTATATGGAGAGGATTTTTGCCGTTCTTTCATGATAGGGTTATGCAAATTTAATACAAATATCATAATTGTCAATGCAAGTCGATAATTACATAAAAGCAGACAAAATGAAAAAATGTAGTCTAGCAAAACCTGATGTGTATGAGGATATTAAAACAAAAAAATATAATGCTACTTATAACATTCAAATGTTAACACATTAATATTTTATGTACTTTCTATTTGTACATTCAAATATAAATCATAAATTCAAAGTCCTTAACATTTTGTCATTTTCAGGTTTTTCCTGGGCATGAAATACCATTTCCTTGGTGGGTATGCCAATAGCAGAGTAGAGGACTTACTACTCCTTCTCCATGGAAATGTAACTATGTTTTATGAGTAAGTAAGTTTAAATTTGTCACAATCCTGTTCTTCTTATCGTTCACTTGAATCGTCTGAAATTAGAAAGATCATTTTAATTTAAGATGCAAATACATTGAATATTAAATACTGTGAATTCAATTTTTTAAGAAATAATTTATTATTAGATCTTTGAATTATGTTTTCATTACCAAAAATAAATTAAAAAAAACATCGTAATTTTAGCTATCTGGATGAACTCGTAAAGATTGGTCGCCTGAAAAATATGGGAGGACAAAGGGGAGACAAAAGTAAATTGACAGCAGAGAATATGCTCAAGGCAGGACTCGACCAAACTGTGCAATGGACTTCATCCACAGAATGCACTGTTCCATCACAGACAGCATTTGGGACGATTTATAATGTGGACATTGTCAATGAAGTGTGCAATTGTCCAGCAGCAACAACAAGAGGTATTTTTTTAGCATCTTAAGTCAGTCCAACAATGTTTAAAAGTACACCATCAAGTATGAATTGTTGAAATCAAGATTATTAATTTCGGGTACCGTATATGGTTCCCGGAAATGCTTATCCTTCTAAAGCACCTAATTTCACTTCAGGTATTCAGTGGAATTCGTGTTGTTTATTATTGTTTTTTACTGTTGTTGTAAATGTCTTATGGTTTTATGAGTCTCCTCGGTTTTGATTGTTTTTGTCTTCCAACAAGGCATTATCAACCGTCATCAGGTTATACAAGTGCAAATAATCATTTTCCTCATCAAATTTTCTAAAACAATGCGATCCAATTTAAGTAAATCTTTACTCAACGTTCATTAGTGGTTTTGTTTAAAGTTTGTACAATTGAAAGTGAACCATAAAGGTACAAGTTATTTATGTTCCATTCTCTACTATTTTTCAGGAATGTGTAAGCATGTTCATTTAGCTGAATTGATTGCTTCTAAAAGGAACATCGACCTTACTGTAGAGCGCAGATCAGAAGCAATGGATGTATTTAATGCAGAACAATATTTTTATGACAGAGATAACAACCAGGTAGAGGTTTTGTCAAGATTGGGAAATGTATCAGTTGTTAATTTGACCTCTTTCAAATGTACATGTTTTGCCAATAGCCATGGTAAACATTGTGTTTGTGTGATGGTAGCAAAACTGGTAGTTCCATCACCTGACATAGAGTCTACCTCAATTGATGAAACAAAACAACAATTAATTGAAGACAAAGAAACAACCGACCAGGCTATTAAAAGAAAAATTGAGGAAATCAATTTATATGTAAACAATAAAAATTTCCAGACAATTGACGTGAAAAAAAAGAAAGCTATTTGTCAAGCACTCACAACGGCATTACATATTTGTAAGACAACCAACTTTTCCAAAACAACAAGAAAGCGAAAGCAGCAACCGCTGTTTCCAAGCAGAAAATCCAAAAGTCCAAACACTGATCATGACTATTCAGTAAGCCGAAAGTGTGTTCTGAAAAAACGGGGGCGTAAAGTTAATGATGATGGAAGTTTCAAATCTACGCACAGAAAGAAAGGATCCATTCGTAAACCATTTCAATGAAAAAAATAATGAAATATTATACTGATTTTGAAAAACTGCCTTTTCTAGATATTCGTTCAAAAATTGTATATGTTACATAGGTGCTTAAATGCTTTAAAAGTAGGACATATACAGTTTGCTCTTGAAATGTTTTGCAAAGATACTGATGTGAACAAATGGATATAATTTAATATAACAAATACCTATTCCTAATGATGATTTTGTCAAGCAGATAACTTGGCTAATTATTACATTGGACTAGGTCTGTTTGTTGTCTCAAGTAGGTTATATTTTTTAAGCAAATGATCAAATATGTTTTAAGTTAAGATAATACGTGTCATGTGTCTAATAAATCATTACCTGGCAGCATTGTCTGTATTGTCTTCCAAAAGGCCTCAAAAACTTTCCCATGCATTGCCTTGTTTACATTAGTTTTATTTAGTTCGGCTATAACATGGCCAACAATTTCTCTGCAAATATAAGTTAAGACAGCAATTTTATTATAATAGGACATTTCTTTACCTACACAATTTTATATAATGACACCATCTTAATTATTCTAGTTTTAATAAGAATCACTTAATCTAAGCAAATAAAAGACTTAATTTACAAGAATGCATTTTATTTTATTGACTTAAATATTTTTTTTTAAATGTTTTAATATGTTAATACTATAATGCTTAATTTATGTCATTACTAACAAAGATTGTATTCAATAATTTCAAATGTTTCCTAGCTACAACAAAATAGAGCATGTTAAACCGTTGGAAAATAAATGAGAATAGCAATGTTATACATATCAATAATAAAACAAAGGACCAAGTCGAATTGTAAGGCCAAATTAAATAGTAATTTGTACATCAATAATTATAAGTCAATTGTTCTACCTAGCTTTCTGATAAACATGTAGTGTGGATTGTTTCAAGTTTATGACCAGTAAGAAGTAGATTGTATATGATTTTATAGTTAGTATTCTAACGATGCTATTAATTTTAAAATGATTGATTCCATGTCATTTTGCTTTGAAAAGTTTATTATTTAGTACACAGAGAAATGTGAAACCTTGAGTTGTTTTTTACGTTTTGGTCGGGTTGTTGTTTCTTTGACATAATCCCTGTGTCCATAAAGTTATATTAAAACGAAATCTGTTTTTAAACAGCTGGTAGTATGTTTGTGTTTGACTGTATATTAAAATGATAACTACACATTTCCATTCGCTTTTAACACAATTGTTCATTTTCTATATATAGACCTCGAGTGTAAAAAGATAGATTGCATTATAGACTTGATTATGAATTTATGATCTGAATTTTGTCACAAATTTAGTCAAGAATAATTATTGAAACAGATAAGCAATCAATTGAATAGATGAGAACTCAGTTTATAATTGATTGTTGAGAAGATAAATACATAATGATCATGGTATTTGGAAAATGTATGTTTTATATATTTCATGTTAATCTAGATGTTTGCATTTTCTATTGTGTATTTTATTCCATACTCTTAGTATGTAATAAAGATGTCAAGAAGACGATTGCCTTTGTAGCCATTATAAATCCAATGTTCATAAAATCTGAACAATTGAATTCTCCTCAAACACTTACTTAGTTTTTTCAATGTCACTCTTTTTTTGGGCAGATGTCCCTTTCATTTTTTTGCATACAGCCTTTTTGGTTGCTCCTTTCAACAAGAGCCTCGGTCAAAGTGTTTAAAGATTGAACTTGATAGTCAACATCACCTGAAAATGAAGTGAAATACAGTTGTGATCTTTTCTTGCAGTTAAGCTGATAAATATATGTAATAAGACATATTAAGCACCGTTATGAAAGTTCTTACAACTTAAAAAAATGTCTTACAGATTGGCAAAGCGACATGTATATGATTCACAGTAGACATATGATTTCAAAAGATACAGTTATATACCAAGGGATCATAAACTCAAGCATGAACAATATTATGGGCACCACATAATAAACTGGATCTGCTAACCAATATAGATAACCTGAGACCACCCTAGTTTTTTATGGGGTTTATGTTGCTCAGTTTTATTTTTTCTATATTGAATTATAATGATTGCATTTTTGACTTTCCATCATTTTTTTTAATTTTTTTGCTCAGCTTTGTCAGTTTGTTCTCCAAATTTCAGTTTGATTGTTCCTTTCGACCCATTCACCATTCCTTACCTTCTAATCAATCAATGCTTAAAAAAACACGAGATCATCAATTTATGTGTTTTAACCAGCATAAACTGTTTTCTTTGAGAATCAAGTGTATTCACTAAAGTCTTACCGTTTGTTAACATGGACCAGGCTGATGTGATCGGTGGCACTATGTTTGTTGGTTTCGGAATCAAATTGACTAGTCTTGAAAGTTCCTTTCGATTTTGTTGAGTAGTATTTGATTTCCCTATTGTCAAGTAATCACCTATCTGGTGAACTGACATTCTGTCTGGTCCCTGGACTCTGGCCGTGATTTCATCTCCCTTCACCATATAAATCATTCTTTTCTCCGTTTTGTTTGTTTTCATTGACTGTAGTCTACTTCTCACAGGTCTAATGTCTTTTTAAAATAAATTGGAAAATAATCATGAACCCTTATGATAAGATTAATGAGAAACTTAAAATTGTGTTTTTGTTAGCCTATTAAAAGAAATCAATGACTTGAATTATTTAAGGCACAATGTAAAAATAAATGATACAGGGAGCTTCTAAATGTATAAAATTACCAAGTAAATATCAAACTAGTATATGTATAGGTTGTTACTAAACAGATAAAAGCCATTCCTGAAAATGTGAAGGTACAGTCATCACACAGGACATTTAGCTTTGTTATTCATAAAAAGTAATTGGAAAGACAATAATAAAACAAGTAATGATTCATATCCAAATCCATGAAGTGCTAAATATAATGATTGTTGAGGTGAAATATAGATTGTTGGTGATCATGGTATACAAATGATCAAAAAAATATAATGTACATACTTGCAATCCTAAACTCCTCAAAAGAAGTAATCTCATTCCAATCCGTCGTCTCACTTGTACCTGTTGAGATAAGAGTATTATTCAGGATAATTGATAAGAAACCAATCAAAACACAATTACTTTAATCATAAAATGTAATCCTAGTTATCTTTGGTAATTAATTCCTGGTGGTTGCATTGATTTTGTGTACAAAATAACTACATAATATCAATGTCTTGATCATTATGATACCATTTTTAGAAACAAAGTGACATTTTTCTACCCCAATATCTCCTAAATAAAATTAGGTTGGGGGTTGAGCCAGTCAACTCCAAAGCCTGCCCTGTGAAGAAGTATATTAAAAACTTCAATTGTTTTCTTTATATAAAGTATAACAAAAACTATTATATGCTTCATATTTAAAAATATATCATTCTAAAATAGGAAAATAATTCATTTTGGTCAATTTCCCTACTTTTTTGTCACCTTTTTCAATGTTCATAAATTTAACTATGGCGCCACATCTTGCCCATTCAATTTTGATGAAATTGGCAATATCTTGTTAAGTTGACCACATGTAACCAATTCAATATTTTTGTAAAGTAATCTCAACAGGAAAATGAAATTACTTTTCAATCAAACCTAAGTAGCATTTTTACAAATATCAATAACAAGTTTTAAGTTCAAAAAGAATGATAGTTTCAGTATCATAAAACTTAATGAACTTATCCATCATGATTAAATGCATACATACCACTCTCATCTACATTTTCTGTTGACTTCTAAAAATAGAAGATAAAAATTATAATGATTGTATTAGGAAATCAATTGATTTATCAAAAATTATCTAATAATGATAAGTATAAATTGTCTACATAATCAATTGTAAAAATCCTCTTGACAAAGTAAGAAATTTTAATTGTTTTCTAAGATTTATTTTTTAGACGACTCTGAAAGACAATGCACATTTTTTAATGGTTATTAATATATTGAAATTAATATAACAATATAACATATTCTCCCTGAACCAAGAATGTATATCTAACCTGATCTTCATCTTTTTTCTGGATCTTCGGTTGTCTAACATTATCTACTAATGAAAAGAAATAAAACCATGAACCATTCAAATGTAAATGTTGATATTTTTTTGCAATTTATATTAACATTAATTGTTTCATTTTCTGTTATAAAAGACTAAATAAAACAAATTTTATTTGCGTAAGTGTGTCCAGAGGTTACCATATTTCATATCAACATAAGGTGATCAGAGGTGACAAAATCTGAAATCTACAGAAGGTGACCAGAGGTAACCAAATCCCATGTATGAATAAGATGACCAGATGTAACCAAATCAATTATCTGCATAAGGTGACCAGAGGAAGCCAAATCCGAAATATGCAGAAGATGACCAGATAATTACAATATCTGCATAAACTTAGGTAACCAAAACTTATATTTAAATCAGGTGACCAACAGTAACAAAACCCTATTATATCTTTTAAAAGTGACCAGTAATTACCAGATACCATATCTTGGGAAGATGACCACATGTATCCAAAATTAAGAATTTTGTAAGGAAATTCTAAAAGAATATTGAATTTACTTTTCAATCAAACCTAAGTAGCCGTTTTAACAAAAAATGATAACCAGTTTTATGTTAGAATACAATAATCGTATAAGGAAATCAATTGATTTATCAAAAATATCTACAGAGGATAAGTATCAATTATCAACTGAACATGCTCTTGGCAACGTTTGCAAATTAAATCATTCTCTAACGTTTGTTTTATAGATGATCATGGTAGACAAAGTTCATTCTGTTAATTGTAATAAAATATTAAAAGTAATATTTAATACTTTTCTATATTCTTGTTGAACCCATGATGTATATCAAACCTGTTTTTCTTCTTTTTTCCCTCTCTTTGATTTTCTAGCATGTTCTAAAATGATAAAAAAACACAACATGACCAGTTGTAGGTAAATATTGATGACAAGAAATAACCAAATTCGAATAATACATAGGGTGGCCAGAGATTTCCAATATATGCATGAAATGAACGGAGGTAAACAAATCCAATATCGTCGTAAGGTGACCAGAGGTAAGTAAACACATTCAATATCGTCGTAAGGTGACCAGAGGTAACCAAATTCTATATGTTGTTCAGATGACCAGAGGTTACCATATACCATATCTTGTAAAGTTGACAACATGTAGCCAATTTAAATTTTTATAAGGTTATCCCAAAAGAAAAATGTTTTTTTTAATTAAACCTTAAATGCCATTTCACAAAATTCGTAACAAGTTTAAAGTTTCAATAGAATAATAGTTGCAGTATTATATAGACACAAGGCGCTTATCCATCATAAATAAGAATTATATTTAACAAATTTAATGCATACATACCTCTTTTATCTACATTTTCTAGTGACTGAAAAAGAAGATAAAATATATAATGATTACATTAGGAAATCAATTGATTTATCCAAAATAATATAATGAGGGTAAGTATACATTGACTTAATAATCAACTTTAAATGCTCTTGTCAACGTTTGCAAGTTCAAGCATTTTCTAAGATTTGTTTTTTAAAAGATCAGGATAGACAATGTTCATTCTGTTGAGATCATTAATATTTTAAATGTAATATGCAATACAATTCTATAGTCTTGCTGAACCAGTAATGCATATCAAACCTGTTCTTGTTCTTTTTTCCTTCTCTTCGATTGTCTTACATTTCCTACAAATAATAACAAAAAATAACATGACTTATGTTTTGATGACCAGAGTTAATTAAATCTGAAATCTGCATAAGGTGACCAGAGGTCCTCAAATCCAATATCTGCATAAGGTGACCAGAGGTTCCCAAATCCAATATCTGCATAAGGTGACCAAAGGTCCCCAAATCATATATCTGCATAAGGTGAACAGATATATAACAAATCAAATTTCTTCATAGAGTCACCAGAGGTCCCCAAATCGGAAATCTGCATAAGAAGACCAGAGGTCCTCAAATCCAATATCTGCATAAGGTGACCAGGAACTCTAATCCAATATCTGCATAAGGTGAACAGAGGTCCCAAAATCCAATATCTGCATGAGGTGACCAGATTTATCCAAATCCAATATCTTCATAAGGTGACCAGAGGTCCCCAAATCCAATATTTGCATAAAGTGACCAGAGGTCCTAAAATCCAATATCTGCATAAGGTGACCAGAGGTCCCCAAATCCAATATCTGCATAAGGTGACAAGAGGTTACTAAATCTAGTATCTGCATTAGATGACCAATGGTAATCCGATTCCATATCATGTTAAGATCACTAGAGATAATCTGATACCATATATGATAAAATTGATCACTTATAGCTAATTAAATATTTTTCTAAGTTAATCCAAAGAGAAAAAGAAATTTTTCAATCAAACCTAAGTAGCGATTTTAAAGCTATGGATAACAAGTTGTAAGTTTAAATAGAAATTTAGTTTCAGTATCATATAGACGTAATGAACCTATCCATCATACTAAAAAAATGATAAAATAAATACAAACCACTTTCATCTTCATTTTCTGTTGACTTCTGAAAAAAGAAGTCAAATATTAAATAATCGTATAGGAAATCAACTGATTTATCCAAAGGATCTAATGAAGATACGTATAAATTGACTTCATTATCGGCTCTTGACAACGCAAGCAAATTCAATTATTTTTAAGATTTATTTCTAAATGATCATGGAAGATAATGTACATTTTTTCTGTTCAGTGTTACTTAGATAGTAAATATAATGTTATAGTATTCTATATTTTGAACCAATGATATATACAAACCTGTTCTTCTTTTTTCACCCTCTTCAAATTTCTCACATTTTCTACAAATGATAAAAAAACTCAACATTTAAAAAAGAAATTGTGGTATTATTGCCAATGAGACAACTGTTCACAACAAACCAAATGACACAGAAATTAACAAGTATAAGTCACTGTACGGCCTTCAACAATGAGCAACGTCCATACCGCATAGTCAGTTATTAAAGGCCCGGAAATAAGAAATGTAAAATAATTCAAACGATCATACATCTAAGACTACATATGACCAATTTTTGTAAAATTTAATGACCAGTGAATAACAAAATCCGAAATCTGCAAAAGGTGTCAACTGTCAAGAGAATTCCAATAACAACAGAAAGTGACCAAAGATAACTAAATACAGTATCTGCTTCAGGTGATCAGTGTTAACACAATTCTATATCATTTTAAGGTTGCTTAGGGTACTCAAATACCATATCTGGGAAAGTTGACCATATGCAGCCAATTAAATATACCAAAAATAATTAATTTCAATCAAACCGAAGAAGCCATTTTACAGCTATCGATAACAAGTTTTAAGTTCAAAAAGAATAATAGTTGCAGCATTATATAAACATAGTGTATGTTTTCATCATATTAAAGGTTTGATACAATAAATTAAATGCATACATACCACTTTCATCTACATTTTCTGAGGACTTCTAAACAAAAGAAGATAAACATCTGATATTTGTATTAGTAAATTCAATTTTATTTATCCATAATTATCTTATGAGGATAAGTAAAAATTGACAAAATTTTCAACTGTCAATGCTCTTGGCAATGTTTGCAAGGTCAATGATTTTCAAAGATTTGTTCTTTAACAGATCAGGATAGACAATGATCATTCTGTTGAGTGCTATTAATATTTTAAATGTAATATGCAATACAATTCTATAGCCTTGCTGAACCAGTAATGCATATTAACCTTTTCTTGTTCTTTTTTTCTTCTCTTCGATTGTCTTACGTTTCCTACAAATGATAAAAAACATAACATGACTTATGTTTTGATGACCAAAGGTAACAAAATCCAATATTTACATAGGGTGACCAGAGGTCACCAAATCCAATATTTACATAAGGTGACCAGAGGTCACCAAATCTAATATTAACATTAGGTGACCAGAAGTCACCAAATCCAGTATTTACATAAGATGAACTGAGGTCACCAAATCAAATATATGAATAAGGTGACTAGAAGTTACTCCATTCTAGCATATTAAGGCAAACAGAGGTTAACAAATCCGAACTGGTTAAGATGACCACATGTAATCAACTTAAATATTTGTGTAAGGTAATCAAGAAACAAAAAAAAATGATTAGTTCAATCGAGCCTAAGTGGCCATTTTACCAGAAACGATTGCAAGTTTCAAGTTCAAAAAGAATAATAGTTGCAGCATTATATAAATATAGTGTATGTTTCCATCATATTAAAAGTTTGATACAATGAATTAAATGCATACATACCACTCTCATCTACATTTTCTGAGGACTTCTGAAAAAAGAAGATAAGTATATGATAATTGTATTAGTAAATTCAATTTTATTTATCCAAAAGTATCTTATGAGGATCAGTTTTATTTTATTTAATTATCAACTGTCCGTGCTCTTGGCAATGTTTGAAAGATTAATGATTTTTCTTTAATTTGTTTGTAGATGATCATGAAAGATAATGATCATTGTGTAAAGTTTTATCGGTACATTAAACTTAATGTAATAATATTCTATATTCTTGTTGAATTCATAATGTATATCAAACCTGTTCTTCTTCTTTTTTGTCTTTCTTTGATTGTCTCAAATTTTCTACAAATGATATGAAAAACATCAACTAGTTGTATGCAAATGTTATTTACCAGAGATAACCAAATCTGAAAACTGTATAAGGTGACCAGAGGTAACCAAATCCAATATTAACATAAGGCGACCAGAGGTCACCAAATCCAATATTTCCATAAGATGACCAGAGGTGACCAAATCCAATATATGAATAAGGTGACTAGAAGTTACCCCATTCTAGCATATTAAGGCCAACAGAAGTTAACAAATCCCATTTCTGGCTAAAATGACCACATGATATCAACTTAAATATTTGTGTAAGGTAATCAAGAAACAAAAAAAATTATTAGTTCAATCGAGCCTAAGTGGCCATTTTACCAGAAACGATTGCAAGTTTCAAGTTCAAAAAGAATAATAGTTGCAGCATTATATAAATATAGTGTATGTTTTCATCATATTAAAGGTTTGATACAATAAATTAAATGCATACATACCACTCTGATCTACATTTTTTGAGGACTTCTGAAAAAAGAAGATAAACATATGATAATTGTATTAGTAAATTCAATTTTATTTATCCAAAAGTGTCTTATGAGGATCAGTTTTATTTTATTTAATTATCAACTGTCAGTGTTCTTGGCAATGTTTTAAAGATCAATGATTTTTCTTAAATTTGTTTGTAGATGAGCATGAAAGATAATGATCATTGTGTAAAGTTTTATCAATATATTAAACTTAATGTAATAATATTCTATATTCTTGTTGAATCCATAATGTATATCAAACCTGTTCTTCTTCTTTTTTGTCTTTCTTTGATTGTCTCAAATTTTCTACAAATGATATGAAAAACATCAACTAGTTGTATGCAAATGTTATTTACCAGAGATAACCAAATCTGAAAACTACATAAGGTGACCAGAGGTCACCAAATCCAATATTAACATAAGGTGACCAGAGGTAACCAAATCCAATATATGAATAAGGTGACTAGAAGTTACCCCATTCTAGCATATTAAGGCCAACAGAAGTTAACAAATCCCATTTCTGGCTAAGATGACCACATGATATCAACTTAAATATTTGTGTAAGGTAATCAAGAAACAAAAAAAATTATTAGTTCAATCGAGCCTAAGTGGCCATTTTACCAGAAACGATTGCAAGTTGTAAGTTCAAAAAGAATAATAGTTGCAGCATTATATAAACATAGTGTATGTTTCCATCATATTAACAGTTTGATACAATAAATTAAATGCATACATACCACTCTGATCTACATTTTCTGAGGACTCCTGAAAAAAGAAGATAAGCATATGATAATTGTATTAGTAAATTCAATTTTATTTATCCAAAAATATCTAATGAGGATCAGTATTATTTTTATTTAATTATCAACTGTCAGTGTTTTTGGCAATGTTTGAAAGATCAATGATTTTTCTTAAATTTGTTTGTAGATGATCATGAAAGATAATGATCAATGTGTAAAGTTTATCGGTATATTAAACTTAATGTAATAATATTCTATATTCTTGTTGAATCCATAATGTATACCAAACCTGTTCTTCTTCTTTTTTGTCTTTCTTTGATTGTCTAAAACTTTCTACAAATGAAATGAAAAACATCAACTAGTTGTATGTAAATGTTAATTACCAGAGATAACCAAATCTAAAATATGCATATGGTGACCAGAGGTAACCGAATCCAATATTAACATAAGGTGACCAGAGGTCACCAAATCTGAAATCTGCATTAGGTGACCAGAGGTAACCAAATCCAGTATTTCCATAAGGTGACCAGAGATAACCAAATCTAATATATGAATAAGGTGACCAGAGGTAACCAAACCCGTTATTAACATAAGGTGACCAGAGGTCACCAAATCCAATATATGAATAAGGTGACCAGAAGTAACCCCGTTGTAGTAAGGCAAACAGAGGTTAACAGATCTAATTTGTGGTAAAAATGACCACATGTAATCAAAATTAAATAATTGTGTAAGGTAATCAAGAAACAAAAAATGATTTGTTCAACTAAGCCTAAGTGGCCATTACCAGAAACGATTGCAAGTTTTAAGTTCAAAAAGAATATTAGTTGCAGCATTATATGAACTTTGTGTACATATCTATCATATTAAAGGTTTAATACAATAAATTAAATGCATACAAACCACTCTCAAGGTGACCACAAGTATTCAGATGCAATATCGCGGTAAGGTGAGCAGAGGTAACAAAACCTAATATTTACATTATGTGACAAGAGCTAGCAAATCCAATAAATACATATGGTGACCAGAGGTAACCAAATCCAATATCAGCATAGGTGACTAGATGAACGTATTCCAATATTTACATAAGTTGACCTGAAGTAACCAAATCCGTTATCTTCATTAGGTGACAAGAGGTTACCAAATCAATTATCTGCATAAGGTACACAGAGGTAACCAAATCCTATATATGCGTAAGATGACCAGATGTAACCAAATCCTATATGCGGAAGGTGACCAGTGGTAACAATTCAAATATTTGCAGAAGGTAACCAGAGTTAACCGAATACTATTTTAGCATAAGTTGACCAGATGTAACAAAAGCCGCTATTTGCATAAACTAACAGAGGTAATCAAATCCAATAATTGCATAGGTTGACCAGAGGTAATACAATACTTTTTTGCATAAGATAACCAGAGGTAACCAAATTCAATATTTGCATTAGTTGATCAGAGATAACAAAATCTGAAATCTGCATAAGGTATTATCCATCATATTAATTGATTTAATCAACAAATTAAATGCATACATACCATTCTCATCTAAAATTTGTATGGACTTCTGAAAAAAGAAGATAAAAATATAATAATTGTATAAGGAAATCAATTGATTTATTCAGAAGTATCAAGTGAGAACAAGCATAAATTGACCCGATTTTTAATTGTGAATGTTCTTGACAATTTTTGCAAGTTCGTTAATTTTTTTTAGATGATCAGGAAGAAAATTCGATGGTAAAGTGTTTTCAATGAATAAACATTTAAAATGTTATGCAACAATCATCTGTAGTCTTGATGAACCAATTATAGATATCAAACCTGTTGTTGTTCTTTTTTCCTCTCTTTGAATGTCTAACTTTTTCTAAAAAAAAGAATTAACAAAATCCATGAAGAGAAACTAAAGGTTAATATTTTTAAAGTCAGTACAATTCAGAGTAAAAATATATACTCAAATTATTAAATTGCAATATAAAAAAAGGGTAACCTCTCTGTCAAGTATAGATTACCTTGAACAACACGAACCATTTAGTGCTTTTAAATAAGTGTGGGTGAAACATAAAAAAATTAATAGCTTAACGTGAACTTACTTCTAGCGAAAACTGTGTGAATTATATATATTCATAGGAATTAATTCAGAAGCATGCTTTATTATTTTTTCTGCACGCATTTATGTTTATCTATCATTGATTATAATGTAATGTAAAATTGATACAGGATAGAAATGAAGTTGTGATAAAGATACACGACTTCACAGCAGAGATAATAAATAAGGAAATTGTAATTATTGTGTCAAGCAGAACATTAAGTGAGAACTATAATATGTAAAAGTAGTGGCATATTGACTACACATTGATTATATTTGAAGCGTACAGATTTAGGATAAAGCACACCAAACTAAAAGTTCACAGTATTTTATACATTACCATACATCTGTATATAAGAAACAAAAAAATAAATAAAATCCAACAGCTTATACAATGCAAACAAGAAACTGACAAGTTATATAACAAAATCATTTGAAAAGACAATATTTAAAGAAGACTTAAAAAGTAGTGTGCACTAAGCAAACGGTACCTATGCCAGCGTCATTCTGTATTAATCAACTAAGTCATGAGGGGGAACATTAAACGTCTGCCTTTACCATGTGAGTCTGAATGTGAGAACAACAAATCTTTGGATTTCAAAGATATCTTAGAATAAGTTCATTTAGTGCAATCTATAAAAAATGTAAGAAATATCAACATGAATATATCTACAAAAATTAATAAGTCGACTTCTGTTATGAAATTAAACGCAACTTATAGAATTATTGAACAAATGGAAGAACAATGATCATTCTACAATTTTGTTATATCGCATTTTGTCCTTGCAAATTAAATTGTATTTCATTGTATTACTTTAAAAAAAAAATAGAAATGGTAGAATTTTCTATTGCACTCACCAGGTGGAAAAATTGAGCACAGACTGCATAGTCCTGGAGTCATACACTTTTTGTGGAAATTCCTTTTACAGCATGAACATGCTCTCTGCAATATTTAATAGACATGTTCAAATTCTATGAATTAATGTAGTTATTGCGAAAAATGTTAATATTAGTGAAAGTTCATCAAATTGATATAAAAAAAACCATTTATATTCTAACCTACAATATCACAAGGTTCTGTTAAAAAATTATCAATTTTAACCATAAAACGTATTTAAATAAGCAATAAAAATAATAAAGCACCCTGTTAAGTTGAACATCAACGATCTATAAATGTATATTTACCATGTTAGTTGGTTCTTTAGCACACAAGAAGCATGTAATAACAGCACCTTTTGTTTCTATAGTAAAATAGAAATAGATGTTAACATGAATTAGGAACAACATTCTTCTGCTCCAAATCACAAATTGCAGCAGCTGATAATAAGTCATAAAATTGAAAATGTTTACACTTGGTTGATGTTATTTTTTACGTTCCTTCCCGTAGATGGTAATTATGATGGTGATGCTCATTGATGACAGCGGCAGTTTATATGAAGAAGACAATCGCATAAATATATCGGCTAACTTAATTAGACCTACAAAAACTAGTTGATTTTTAAACATCTACTTTCCATGTTTATATTTCCATTAATAAGATCGTAATATTTGACAACAACACATTATCATACATATATAAGACATGGAATATCATAAAAATAAGTACAGTTTGAGCTGTAGAAAAAAGAGAGAAATTATTACAGAAAACAACCGGAATTATTAAGCTATTATTTCCAAACTACATTTTTAAGTATAACATATCAATAATGAATAATACATTAAAGAAACATAAATACATCATTTATAGCGTAAAGAAATTTGGTCAGAAACAATAGATAAAATTAAAAACAAATCATCAATGAATTGAGATAAACATCAAAGAAAAGGATTTCAAACACATTATTGAACATGTTAAAATTCATATTCCCTTTTTATTAGATTCACTTATTGTCTAGCAAGAAGATATTAAGTATTTACATAACATACGGTACTATTAGTAAATGCTTTTATTCTATTGATTACTTACGCACAGCTTGAACAATTTCACTGCCAATTGTGAATCTTTCAGCTTGGACGTTTAATTCCAAAGATGTATCTGTCTTACTTAGGTATCGGTCGAGGAACTAAAAAAATAATTCTTAAATGTACACATTGTTTTGTAAATTTTCTATGGCCTGTTCAAAACTGATTGTTTAAATTACTGAAATGATTCATGTAGGCCTAATAATGATATAAAAATGTTTTTTTTACAAAAGGTAAATTAAAAGTACCACATATTTATTTGTTTTTCTTTCCATTACATTTAAAGTAATTTATGCAAATCATAGATTTGGTTAAATTTCACACAACCTTTGTGCTTTGCGGATTTTACTGAAATAGTTTACATGATATATATTCCAAGTTATTGTTTACACATATTTAAATAAACAGGTTTGGGAAACAAGTTGTTTACAACTTACAACAATATTTTGTTCATCTTGTTTGTACGATTCTGCCTTTTTTTCAAAATCAACAAGGGTGTCTTTTACGTGCAAAATTGTGATCTTTATTAGTATATATATATCATTGATTTAAGATTCAAGCTTCAATTGAACTTTCATTTATTAACTCTCAATTCATACATGCAAAGCCAAATGTTTTATGTACCTTCAAACAATAAACACCACATGAGCTAAAATCATTTTGCAGAGGATACCCAACTGCTGTACAGATTGTCCATGTACCAAGATCTCTGCTTTTAGTGAAGTAGCTACATAATATAATATGAAAAGAAAAATGTGTTACTTAAAATTGATATATATTAAAAAGTCAAGCTGGCTATAGCCATAATGCCAGCCATTGCCTTACCCCGGACTGTATCATAGAACTTACATGTCTAGCTAGATGTATGATACTTAAGGAGATATTGCACATTCCATAGAAAACCGTTCATTTGACCAACTTTTTTAATGTAGGAAAAAAAATAATTGCAGCTGTTTTAAAGTTGATATCAACAACGTTTGGAAAAAAATAACTGGTCTTCAGTTCTTACTGCTATATTCAATTTACAAAGCTGTGCAATCAATAATACAATTATAGTTCAATTCCAGTATCAATCAGAAGTAATTTTCATTTTAGATTAACAAATTATATTTCTCTAGATTTGTCCTTATAACTTGTGACTCACTTCTGAAAATTTCAGAATTATAAACTTTTTTTTAAGTATATATATCAAACACAGAAATAAAAATTTACTTTGAAACAAATCACATGCATTAAAGCAATAAACGACTGTCATGTAACTACAGTTTCAATCATACTTGAAATTCTTTTCATATGTTCTCAATTTCTTTGATATTTTGAGCGGGTCCATAATTGTCACAATATGGTGTTGGACATCCATAACCTGAAACAAAAATTATTCTCTCTTTTTAATTTCACATACTTAAATCTGTTTACATTAACATTTATAAAAAAATAAATATTTTGCTTAATTACTGGTTGTTGCTCAATGTTCAGAAGCAAATATTTGATAATATTCTATACGAAGAAGCCAATATTTTATATCTGATATTTCTTTTCTAACTATCATTTCCATGCAGTATAAATGCTTTCATATAAATGAGTGCAAAATCAGTTGGAAAAATGTATGAGAAAATATATATATTAAGTCAAGTAAGTTGAATTAAGTTATAGAAGAACAACTAACATGACTAAAAACTCAACGAAATGTCTGAAATGCTGTTCTTGCAACTCATTTTTCTATCAACTTATAACCTCATGGAAAAATGCCTGAATAGTGTAATTAATAACATTAATTGAGCAAATAAACCTACCACAGCAACCCAATGACACTTCCCGTCATTAATGCACCCAATGACAGTGTCATACTGTTGTATATCGTCCTAAAAAAGTATTGTAAAATGTTATTATTAACTTGCAAACTGATAAAAAAAAGACCGATGAAACATTAAATACATTTTATAAACAGCAATATAATACCATACACAATACAATATTTAGCATATTGTTTTATTATTTATCATTTGATAATTTACATATATCATCAATATGTTAGAATGTCTTATTATTTTGTTAAAACGTGAAAGGCGAATTGGTAATATCCAGCTTTTAGCTGTAAAAAAAGTAATCTATGTGTAAATCAAAAGCACTTATATAAAAAGAGTTTATAACAGATGATTATATAGTATTATACCTTTTTAAACCAAGTTACGCTTTTCCTCCCTTCAAAAATTGAGGTCAGAATCAGACAATCTGCACGGGACACTTTCTGGAAAATGGAAATATGTATAAAACAAATTGTGTGACAAGAACATTGGATTTATTTAACTGTTTCTATTACATCGGAACGTGAAATTATATAAGGTTTTTCTTGCCTGGTTCAATACTTCTTCAAAGTCAGTATGAAATTACCCATCAAAAATACGAGGAATAAAAGTAAATTCATTTTTCTCATAGTTAATGAGTTGTGCATATATTTCCTTAACGACAATTCCAAATGGGATATAACTCTTATAAGGAATATCCAGATAGCTTCGGTTAAATAATATATGACATCATAAGGGTGTAACGAGTAATTGAGTAAACTAATAAAATATCGCAGTAGATGTATCTACACGCAAAATCGAGATTGGGGAGGTAACTCTATTAATGAGAGTAAAAAGTCTTCGTTAGGGCAATGGCGAAAGCTCATAAGCTGTACGATATCATATAAAACAAAGTCAAAGCTACATCTGTTAAAAATAATAGCTCAACTTAAAAAAGGCGAACAAAATATAAATAATAATATCAAAATAATGATAATAATTATAATCCTTAAGTAAAGCTAAAAGTCTTTCAACCGAAAGGTAGAAAGACCTTAAATTATATAAAAGGGAAAAAATAAAAGATGATTTAGTGGAACAAATATTTCATTCTCTGCAAAAAGGGTGGTGGGTGCGAAAGTAACTTTTACAATACACAGTTTACTTTGGTGAAATTGGAAATGAATAAAAAATGCATAAAACAAGTTTAGAATGATAATTCAGATACCCTTAATGGAGGAATGGATCATGTAGAAACAGCGAAATTAAATGAATTGATCCTGGAAGTTACAAAAAAATAAGCATGCTTTAAAGTAGCCGATGAAAAAATCAGTCAACTCTAAAATAAATGCACTGAAATATGATAAAACGGTTATTAAATAAATACTTTTAATTCGTTTACCTGTACACACTGATCCGTCCGTTTTTGCAGTACACTACAATAAAGATTAATTATCTGAAAAAAAAAGAAAATGATAAGGTCAGATCTTTTCAATCAGTATGATACAAAGGAAACCATCAACAAAACTAAATATCACAAAGTTGAAGACATACAAGTTTGATCAAGATAACACATAACATAAAGTACCATGATTATGTTATCAGTTTAAGACAGATTATTTAAAAAAATCCTTGTACATTTTATAGAACTAAATAAAATCAAAAGACCTCCAAAAACCTGAATGACTTACCTGCATTTTTTTTGTTGTTAAATCTTTCATCAATGATTATTTCTGCTTTTCAATGGAAATAAAGTAGTGCTTACATTGTCAAATTGGTATTTAATTTTTTTTGGTATCTGTCATATTTTCTTCAATGGCAAAACAATGCATTTTAAACCAATATGCTATTAAGCCATAGTGACTATATTTCTTGGCATAAAAGAAAACACAATTACTTACAGGCCAGTAACTCTTTAAGGGGTCACAAAAATTAGCAATTTAGTGGCATCAACCAAACAATGGGTAGTTTTATTTGTCTGAAAATGCTTTACCTAATGAACCTTTTCACCAATGTCAGATTTAATTTTATTTTAGATACCCTAAGGATGATTAAGCTTACGTTTGGTTGGAATTGGTTCAGTAGTTTCAGAGGAGAGTTCAAGATCTTTGAAAACGTTTAACCTTTATTACATAAATTAAACCATTAGTACTGTTACCTGATCATTCAACTCCTCCTCAATTTTTAAGCTCATTTAATCCGATACGTAAAGAACATTCCCATACACCGTACCAAACTTTTCGTCAGCATTTCCTTTCCATGAATCCCATATAGTTTCCAAAAATGCTTTAAATAAATAATCATTTTTAACAATCAAAGTAATACAAATAATAATACCTGAAACAAATGACATCAATTAAGTTTCTTTTAAATTTTGGAATTCTACGAAAACAGAAGTGCAATCTTGTTTAGCACAGAAGATCACAATATTTGGGTAGGGTGACCAGAAGTAGCCGCAGTCAATATTATATAAACAATAGGTGCCATATTATTTAAGTCTATAACCGTTTAAATTGCAAAGAGGTAATAAAGGTTTACAAGTTACAGAATGACATGAGGTAATTAATATCAACATATGTGTAGGGTTAGCAGAGTAAGTCAGAAACTATGTAGGGTGACCAGAGGTCAACCAAAGTCACTATCAGTGAAGGGCGACAAGATGTAACCAGTCAATATATTTGTAAGGTAAGCGAATGTTAAGTAAGACAATATGCGTAGGGTGACCAGATTTAATCAAAGAATATATATCTGTTTAAATGTCGCAGAGCTGGCCAAAGTTCATAACTTTGTCACCTGACTAAAGTTAACTAAGTCAATATATGTGTAAGATGACCACAGGTTACAAAAGTCAATTACTATGTAAGGTGACCAAATGTAGAGAAAGTCAATAAATGGGAAGGAGTGACCAGAGGGCACCAGTCCATAAATCTGTAGGGGACAAATGTAACCCAAATCTGTATATGTGTGAACTGCCTACAAGTTAACAAGTTTGATAATTGTGCGGGGGTAACTCAGGTCAATAACTTAGTAGGAAAAGAGGTTATAAAGTCATTTTATGTGAAGGGTGACCAGAGGCAACCTAAGTCAATATATGAGTAGGGTGACCAGAGATAACCGAAGTTAATATCTGTGTTAGGTGACCAGAGGTAACCAAAGTTAATATATGTGAAAGGTGACCAGAGGGCACCAGTCAATAAATCTCTATGGCGACCAGATGTAATCTTTAATCAAAATCTATATCTATGTAAACTGCCGACAGCAAACGAAAGACAATATCTGTCACGTGTATGGCGTTAGGAAGTAACCAGTTTCAATATATATGAAGGGTGACCAAAGGTAACCATTGTTTAATCTGGAAGATATGATTTTAGTATGCACACAATTACTGCACAGAGTTTGGTAATTTTAATTTTCCAACGAAAGAAAGAGGTAGGGCCAATATGCCGAGGATTTTTTTTCACAGAAGGGCCAATTTCAAAAAGTGCCGACAGAATAAAATTTACTATAAAAACAAAAAATAAAAATGCTTTTTGATCAATATCTCGATTAACATATAGTACGATATGTGTGATCAATAGTTAATTTAACCCTAAAAAATGATGAAAATCCAATATCCGGATTTTAGGGTGTTTTTATGTGGAAAAAACAGGGAATCCCCCAAGAAGGACATTTCAAACCAAAAAAAAGTTATGCTTTTTATGACTGTTGTTATTCATACTACTTTTTACTTCAAAAATGAAATTGGTTTAGTGTGTCCTTATTACATAAAAAAACAACTTTTTAAAGAAAAAATTGTAACATCGATAAATTGTACCGATATACCTTCTAAATAAGAGTCATAATGATCAGAATCGCCGTAGCTCCACCATTAGAGCACAGAACTACTAATAAATGATGAATTTGAAGAAAGGGTTCGAACCTCGCTCAGAACCTTTGCATTTTTTTGTGTTGTTATATTAAATTTTAAAGTTTCTATCATATTTTTTCGGATGTTTGCTTGACTCATAGAGTCATTCTGGTTCTTTTGACTATTCAGTTAGTTTACTAGTATATAATTTTACGTGTATCAAAGAAAAATAATGTATCGCTTATTGTGTGCAATCCTATGACTGTCCATACTCTTGAATTACTTTCTATTCATGTGTTTACATTATTACGTATATCCAAGGGACAACTGCCGTCAAATTGATGTAGGTGCCTGTACATAACCAATAACACGAGAATTAATTCTATAGAAATTAAGCCTACATGTTGCGGGTGTAATATACACATAACTTAAAATAAGGCCATTGTATACAAGTTTCATAACAACAAAAAACAATTCGCCGAAACCTTTTTTGAACATGGTATTATATGTAACAAATGCAGTCAACAACAATTTTGTCGCCAAATCACAAACTGTAAAGATACTAGTACTGAAATTTTTACCACCTTCTATACACGAGTACCTTACTCATCAGAAAAATAAAACAACATAACAGAACAAATCAATTACACTACAAATCGCGATTGTAGGTAAAACATCAAGAAGCTGTTGCATCTGTATCACAACGAAGGGCCGATTTGTTAAAATTACAGAAAAGGCAATAAAACATGAAGTAGTAACACAGGGTGATCTATGACCAACTGATGTAAGATGTTCTCCGGTTTTAATTTTATATACATGTACATGTATTTTCTTGTCTTATCTTATAGACGATAAAACCTTAAAAGACCAGGACAAATACAGATATACATATTCAGAATGAGAAAATTACGATTTGAATTAGTTCGATATTATTTGGCTCCTTGACAATTTACATGGTATGGCACCTCGCATAAAGGATGTTAATAATAAAATAAAACCAATATTAAAAAAACAATAGTCTTGGCCTTGTTTTTGTAGGAATACCTGTTCAAGGTATGAAAATAAATAATGTGACGTATTTTCTTGTACTATAATTAGCATCTATCGGGCTATTTAAAACATTATTTACCTATCTTATCGAATGAAACAAATCTCCGGCAAATTGGCCCTCCCTCTTTATTTTTTTGGATTCCTAGCAGTTTTATGTTATGGTTTACGTCTACTTTGAAATTTAATTGTAATTTTATTTATTTCATATCGGTTCAGAATAAGATTCTCTTATTGGATAAAAAGGGGTAATATGACATTCATTATTTTTCAGTAATAAATTCCATCCTTCATTAACAGAACAAAACGGACCATAAAACTGGTCGTTAACGAACTTTTACATGAGAATGACAGGTGGGCGTGGTTTCCGTCTGATAATGACCGTTGAGGCGTGGTTTCTCTGTAAATGACCGTTGGGGCGTGGTTTCACTGTTAATGACCAATGGGGCGTGGTTTCTCTGTTTAGAGAGATTTATCCATTTTTAAAACATGTTCCTTTCTTTAATATTATATTTAATTTGTTGAATTGTTTATTATTTGTTTTTGTTAATAATAAAATTAAAGAGAACTGGATTAAGTATTTATATACTGAAAAATTGCACTAAAATGAATGGGAGTATTCCTACAACTGGTCTTCACTCTCTGCCATACAAATCGTACGTCAACTACTCGAGTTCGCTTTAGGCATTTTGAATTAATGAAAATTTTCAAAACATAGTTCCTCAATGAAATAAACATAACAGTTCTTCAAAAAAAACTGGTCATTATCATGATACATGGACTGCCCGTAGGACAGTAATATTGACTATGACAGCGATAATGACCTCGCCTTCGCGTCATTATCGCTACCTTAGTCAATACCACTGTCCTGTGAGCGGTCCAACTATTATATAAATATTAAATCCTGAATTAAAAGGATTAAGTCGATTAGAATGTGACCTTACTCTTAATACTGTTCAATGGCATTTTAATATAATTACACCAACTATATATAGCTAACAACATTACAAATGTCTACATTCATAAATACATATAAATATGTTACTGGTTGAGTTGACAAATAAAACTGTAAGATCAGCATAACATCAGAAGAAACCTTCTCAAGCTCAAGAGATAAATCATTGAAAAATATTATTAAAAGTAAATGTCATAATATGGAACCTTCTGGTACTCTTGATCAAACCTCTAAAGTAGGTAAATCCCTAACTTTGTATTGTGTAACTTTTGTCTTCCGTTTGTAAGGTGGCACTAGATCAATAGCATTTCCTTTCTTCTTGAAGATAAATATAGAATTGATTTAAAAACTTACCTTTACTTCTTTCTTTTATGACAGCTAACATTATCCTTAAAAAATATTAAAATACAGTTCATCCATTGCTTAAGTTATCTTAACATTATCAATATCATCAACTACATGTATAAGATTAGGCCGTGTTCACATTGACTTAAACTCGGTGTTGTGTTAGTGTAACTCACACATTAACTAAACATAATTGCGTTCCCATTGATAAAACTTAATGTTTACATGAAGATTTAATCAAGACTCATCTATCATCTTTGCCGAACACATAGTTCATTTGAAAAGGTCTTCCTGAATCGATCAGACGTACACACTGACAGAAATATTTGCCACTGGTTTTTATACTCAAACAGCGATTCACTTATAAATGCATTACTGAAAAAGGGGGAGGTTAATTGTTTGTTTGTGTAGTATCTGAGACTCGTTAAAATACTATTAGAAATAATAAAAAAACCATTCTCCCCTCCCTTTGACAAATACTCCTTGGATAAAAAAAAATAGCACTTGAAACAAACAGAAGAGATAGAAATGCAGTGATCCTTAACATAGCAATTCTTTTTCTTCGTCTGTAAGCACGCTAATGGCAATCCTACGTTTTTAATGCGTAATCGAGACATCTTTAAACTACTGCAAATCATCCAAAATGACTTTCTTAAAGGAGCAACCACTTTACTTCAAAAAAAAGGGAGAGGGGTTCTGAGTTCTCGCGCGAAAGTTTATAATTAGTTTTTTTTCGATGGTACCAATTTATATAATATTTAACATGTTTAACACTATAATGTATGGGAAAACGTTTGATTCAGAATATTTGTTTATTCTATAATTGTCTGAATGTCTCAATTTTTTTTTAAATCTAATTGTGGAAAAATCCCCCCCCCCTTTTTTTAAAGTCAAGTGGTCGTTTATTAACTGTAGAAAAGTTGTTCGAAAATTTGAATTCGGTTCTACGTAATGAACATTTAAATGACATATAGTTTACGAGTGTGAACAAATCTTATGTACATGTAACTAAACAAGGTGTATAGATGTGAACAAATTTAATGTGAAACTAGCGTACATTACATTAAACCAAATGTAAACATGTTTACTGTACACGACGTTTGGTGTGAACACGGCCTTAGTGAATTATTTATTTTGTGAATTTTTTGTATATCTACTTCTACTTAGAGTCTTAGGGTGAATATATCCTTCTAGTCTGTGATTCGAACATTTAAAAAAAACGTGTCATCACAAATGACAAATCATGCAAAATGGATGAAACAATTATTTTGCTTTGAATGACTTAATTAAACTTAATATGCTTAAGTTTGTGTTATTCATTGTATTCAATTGCTCGGTATGTTAATTTTACTTACAGATAATACAGACGGTGACAGGCTCTATGGTGTATTGCTAAATAGAAAGATGAATTGTCTATTTTAAGCTTTCTATTTTTAGACATGTGTTAGAACTACAATATTACTACACACAAGAGCACTATTTATAGGGTGACCAGTGGGCACCGTTCAGCGTAACTATTATCCTTGTGCGATAAACGTCACGGAAATTACCGGAAAGGCATGTGATAACATTCCGGAAGCAGTCAATAAAGGTTCCTTTATCAGCCCGCTGAGGAAATTCTTAGGAATCTGATCAATAAACCTAGTAATCCTTTCATAGCCTTTTAATATTTTTAAATGTTATTTAACTGTAAAATTTTAGTAATATTTTATACAAGTATATGATAATACGCTGTACTACAGAGATTAGTTATACGTCGGACTGGTTGAGATCAGTAATACGCTGTACTACACAAGATTAGTTATACGTCGTACTGGATGAGATCAGTAATACGCTGTACTACAGAGATTAGTTATACGTCGTACTGGATTAGATCAGTAATACGCTGTACTGCACGCGATTAGCTATACGTCGTACTGGATGAGATCAGTAATTACGCTGTACTGCACGAGATTAGTTATACCGTCCTTACTGGATGAGATCGGTAATACGATGTACTGCAAGAGATTAGTTATAGTATTACGGTAATATGTACGAGAGCAGTGATACGCTGTGCTGAACGAGATTAATTATACGATGTTGTACACGAGATCAGTGATAGGATGTATTGCACGCGAACAGTTACAAGCTGGCTGTACTGCACGTGATCAGTGATATGCTATACTGCACGAGAACAGTGATACCCTGTTCTGCACGTAATCAGTTGTGCACTCTGCTGGACGAGATCATTGACCCACTGTATTTTGAGGTGGTCAGTAAGACACTGTACATAAATACTTAAAGGATCCCGGAGGCGATACAACTTTTTGAATAAATCGCTCATCATTATTATTGTAATTTCAATAACTCACTAATAATGAGAGATAAATATAATTTGTCTATTGGGCTTTATATCCTCAATTAAGGTGACCTTGACGGTATTTCAATAGATCAATAAAAACTGTACTGCAATAGATAAGTAATACACTGTAGTTCAATAGATCAATTATACAATGTACTGCACGGGATCTATTATTCACTGTTCTGCACGGGATGCATTATACACTGTTCTGCACTGGGATACATTATACACTGTTCTGCACGGGATACATTATACACTGTACTGCACGGGATCAAGTTTACACTGTACTACCATAGATTAGTAATAGTATTATACAACGTACTGCACAAGATCAGTTATAGATAATACTATACGAGATTAGTAATACATTGTACTGTAATAGATCAGTAATGCATTGTACTGCAAATGTTCATGCAGTAAGATACTGCACTACAAGAGATCAGTAGTACACCGTACTGCACGAGATCATTTATACACTATACAATATGTATAACTGGATGTGTGTGAAAATATTAATTTTTCGTTTTCATTTTCTAACTTAAGTTTGCCTCAATTAAATGTTATGAAACGTATACACAATGCTTATAACCACAAAACTCAGATCAAGATTAGTACAAATTTGGGTAGCGTCACTTTTACAGTTCTTTTACAGTCCCTTTTTAACGTTATATGCAAGCGGGGGCATCATCTGTGTCCCATAGACACATTCCCTATTTTTTTCATGTTGATTTCCATGTGTTGATTTGGAATCTAATGGTCTTTTGTTTTAGAGAAAAATGTCCAAACCAGTTACGTTAGAATATATTTAAAAGGAGATGTTTGGTAAACCAATCAATCGACAAAAGAATCAAAACTGTATAAAAATAGTAAAAAAAGCAAGTTCTTTTCATTATTTTAACTTCATATAATTTCGATAATGGACGCATGAAATAATTTTATTGCGAGATTAAAGGACGTTCGGACTATATGATTATCGGATTATAGGACTGTCAGACTATATGATTGTGGGATTAAAGGATTGTCGGACTATATGATTGTGAAATAATAGGATTGTCGGACTATACCATTGTGGGACTAAAGGACTGTCGGCCTATCACTATCGGATTATAGGACTGTCGGAATATATGATTATCGGATTATAGGACTGTCAGACTATATGATTGTGGGATTAAAGGATTGTCGGACTATATGATTGTGGGATTATAGGATTGTCAGACTATATGATTATCGGATTATAGGACTGTCAGACTATATGATTATCGGATTATAGGACTGTCAGACTATATGATTGTGGAATAATAATCATATAGTCCGACAGCCCTTTAATCCCAGAATGGTATAGTCCGACAATCCTTTAATCCAACAATCATATAGTCCGACAGTCCTATAATCCGATAATCATAAAGTCCGAACGCCCTTTAATCTCGCAATCATATAGTCCGACAGTCCTATAATCCGACAATCATATAGTCTGACAGTCCTATAAACCGATAATGATATAGTCAGCCAGTCATATAATCGATAATAATATAGTCTGACAGTCCTTTAATAGAAAAATCATATAGTCCGACAGTCCTATAATCCGATAATCATATAGTCCGACAGTCCTATAATACCGATGATAATAATATAGTCCGACAGTCCTATAATCCGATAATAATATATTCCGACAGTCCTATAATCCGATAATAATATATTCCGACAGTCCTATAATCCGATAATGATAGGCCGACAGTCCTTTAGTCCCACAATGGTATAGTCCGACAATCCTATTATTTCACAATCATATAGTCCGACAATCCTTTAATCCCACAATCATATAGTCTGACAGTCCTATAATCCGATTATCATATAGTCTGAACGTCCTTTAATCTTGCAATAATATAGTCCGTTTACGTCAAAACCCCACAGTCCTATAATCGATAATAATATAGTCTGACAGTCCTTTCATAGAAAAATCATAATAGTCCGACAGTCCTATAATCCGATAATCATATAATTCGACAGTCCTATAATCCGATAATAATATAGTCCGACAGTCCTTTAATCCGATAATCATATAGTCCGACAGCCCTTTAATCCCAGAATGGTATAGTCCGACAATCCTTTAATCCAACAATCATATAGTCCGACAGTCCTATAATCCGATAATCATTAAGTCCTAACGCCCTTTAATCTCGCAATCATATAGTCCGACAGTCCTGTATTCCGACAATCATATAGTCTGACAGTCCTATAAACCGATAATGATATAGTCAGACAGTCATATAATCGATGATAATATAGTCTGACAGTCCTTTAATAGAAAAATCATATAGTCCGACAGTCCTATAATCCGATAATCATATAGTCCGACAGTCCTATAATCCGATAATAATATATTCCGACAGTCCTATAGTCCGATAGTGATAGGCCGACAGTCCTTTAGTCCCACAATGGTATAGTCCGACAATCCTATTATTCCACAATCATATAGTCTGACAGTCCTATAATCCGATAATCATATAGTCCGACAGTCCTTAATATTATTATAGGATTATAGGACTGTCGAATTATATGATTATCGGATTATAGGACTGTCGGACTATTATGATTTTTCTATGAAAGGACTGTCAGACTATATTATTATCGATTATAGGACTGTCGGACTATAGCATTGTGGGATTAAAGGAATGTCGGACTACATGAGTATCGGTTTATAGGACCGTTGGACTATATGATTATCGGATTATAGGATTGTCGTATTTCAGGTCTGACCCACAGTGACAGCTAATAGCGAATTACCAATGTTTGAAAGAAATATGTTATACTTTTAGACTAAATCGCAGCTAATGATCTTTTCATGGAAGTGTCGACGTATTTTTTTTTTCTGTTTGTTTTTATGTCCTACATATACTTTTGGTTCTATGGAGTTTTATGATTAGTTTTTTTCACCGTAATTGTCCTTCATATGAGAGGACTAAATGTGGTTTTCTATTTGCATAAATGTAAGATAATGCAAACCGTTAGTATTTTATAAGTACGCTTTATTATATTCCAAATCCAAAAGAAATGCGTGTACGGGTTTCCAACTGTTCGTCCAAATTTTCTCGAGACATAAAAAATATTTCAGGAATTGTGTTTTAAATTAAGTTGGGTTTCTATTTGCCTTATACCTTTTTTTATTTGCATTTCTATTGATTTGTGTTGTTCCATTTCTTATTTCGTCATTTATTTGTTTGGTTTTCTATGGAGGTTAGATGTATTTAGATTTTCTGTGTGGTATAGTGTGTAATTATTACTGCCAGTGTGTTTTCGATGACATATATAAATGATATCAATCTTTTTTATGGTAAAGCATATAAAACACAACTTGTGACAAACAAAATACAATCAACAATTTGCGGACACTGACTTATAAATAAACCGACATTCACATTTTTGCTGCACTTATATATTTATTGGTACCGAGTCGGGATTAATTACACTTAATTTGTACTTCATAAAATAGCGGACGTGATAGAGAGCACATATTTTGAAAACAAAGAAAACAAAGAAAGATAGAAGAAGGGTATCCTGGTTCCCGGTACTACGTTCCAGGTATTAGCTAACTGTTGTTTTATGTGTACAAAAAATATTCTATAAAAACATTTTCAAAGCATTTTCTTCTTATTTTTATTCCATATCTTAAATAGACTTCATATAGATTTCCAATATAAATAAATATATGAATGATTTGTTCATTGTTGAAGACCCTCCGTCTTCTGTCAGAGTAGAGAGCGACAATGTGGAAATAGATCATTCATAATACAAGAAATTATTGAACGGCCAGGAAAATCTTCATTTCAACATCTCTAACTTGAAAAAAGACATCCTGACATTCTGTATGAATACAATAAAAAATAAGGCTCAGATATCAAACAAAGTTCAAATTTTTTACTCTTTAAAACTGTAAATGACAAAATCATAATTAAATACTAGTAACAAACTTTAACTCCAATTAGTTTTGAGTTTGACGAGATGGTGCATATCATTGGATGAATACCGAGCTAAATATGCCATTTTTTAAAATCTGATTTTATATAAAATATATTGTAAATTTTGACATTATGAAAATACTTTTAGTCTAAGATACTGTATTCATTTAATTGTTTAAGAAAAAAAATCTTTGGTGTTTGGATCTTCACTATAAATGAATATTTT